CTGTCCTTAGTTCTTATTCTTCTTGACCTTTCTGCAGTATGAGAGAACATTTATTAAGCACCTATATGTGCCAGCAAAGAAAAGCAAAAACTTTTCCTGCCCTCATTCAGGTGAGACAACATGTAAACGACTGTGTACAAATAAGATATATACAAGATAAACTGGAGATGATCTTAGGGGGAAGTAACACTAAGGAAGAATAGGAAAAGCTTCTTTTAGAAGGTGCGATTTTTGTTGAGACCTGAAGGAAGGGAAATAGAGGTGAAGATGAGGAGTGAGAACATTCCAGGCAGATGGAGCCTGGTGTTAGAGGAAGAGCAAGAAGGTCAGAGTCACTGGATTGTAGAGTGCATGGAAGGGAGTAAGGTGTCAGAAGACTGGAGAGTTTTTGATATCATTGATCAGTTCCTCCTCCTATAAACTTCCTCCTCCCCTTTTTTACTCCCTTAATTCTCTTTCTGCATACCTGGCCATTCTTTTTCAGATTCCTCTCTCTCACTAAGTGTAGTGCAATATTCAGGAGTAAATTATTTTTCCCACTTCTTCTTTAAAGGTCTCCCTCAATGAAAAATAATTTTATTAACAATGAATCCTTCACTACTTCAAACGACCTATGATTTCATTGTTTTGGATACTCCCTCCATACCACAGAAACCTTTAGAAGTGAAATGGTGTTCTTCATTAGGTACTGTCACTCTACACCCCCACCCCCTTCCTACCTGTCCTTTGGCCAGACTTCTTGGGATGAGCCTTTCTGACCATTCTATTAAAACAAGACAGACTCATAATCTATTGCAGGCCAATATTCAACACTTTCCCAACCCAAACAGGATGTGCAGGACCTTGTGCTCTGTTTGCATTGGCTTTAGGAACCTGGGTTAAAGAGTAGATAGTCAAGATGGTGAACTGAGAGACTTGAAGAAAGCCAGGATCCTCACCTACTCTACAAACACATAAATACTAGAAACATCAAAGAGAAGGGAAATGACTAAAATTTCACAAGAAAATAAAAATCAAGCAAACTGAAAGATGAACAAAGCAGAGTGGCAATACAATTGAACAACTGTTGCAGTCATCCCTCAACATTCAAGGACAAGGTCTCCCACTGCATTCCGGGCCATCTCCAGTCATCCTGATCTATATCTTACCACTGAACTCAGATGGCTTGAGAGGAGAAAGTGAGGCTGGTGACTTTGCACAGCTGTCCCTCACTTAAATCCAATTCACTTGCACGTTTATGGCATGATCTTCCTGATGTCATGGTCCTCTTTGAGAAGGAAGGACAAACCAACAACAACAACAACAAGTATAGTCATTCCCCCAGGCTTTGTCCAGGGCCCCTTTCTCTTCTCTAGCTATATAGTCTCTCCCTGTATGATCTCATAACTTTCATAAGTTCAATTAATATCCCTTTTGAAATTACACTGCATTACTTTGTATGTGTTTCATCTTCTATAGTAGAAGCTAATCGATGGCAGGGCCCATTTTATTCTTGTCTTTATATATCTAGTGCCCTGCACATAGTAGATGTTTAATGTGTCATACTTATCATATTCCTAATCTATCCTTTGTATTTATTATATTCTTATTTGTATTACATTTGTGTAACATTCCCCTACTAGACTATAAGCTGCTTGAGTTTCATCTTCTCCCCCAATTCTTCCCCAGTACAGTGCCTTGCACATAATAGGCCCTTAATAAATGCTGAATTGACTCCAAACAAGCATCAAGTGTGGGCTTGGCCATTTTTCATAGCGCTGCTGGTAATGAAAAGAAGCAAATCTGAAAATGGGAGTTTTACTACTGTTACAGGTTTCATATACTTATAAGAACCATAACTCCTCTGATTCTATATTCAAGTATTAAAGGTCTACTATATGCTAGGAATTGTGATAAAAAGACCAAAAAAAAAAAGTCCCTGGTTTCCAGAGCCTTATATTTTATTTATATTATTGATGGTTAAGAGTGTTGGACCAAGGAATTTGGGTTTTAGTTGTGTCTTCAAATACATTTTAAGTATTTTCAGAAAGGATCATGTTTTAGCCTTCTTTTTAGTAATTCCTCTTAATTCTTAGCACAGTTCTGGACTTATATAGCAGATGTACAATAAATAATTGTTGAACAAATAACCGACTTTACAGCCACAAATCGTGATCAAGGGAAGAGAAAGGTAAATTTAATTTTACAAAGTAGGCTAGGCAAATTTCCAAGGAGCTCACAACCAGGCTTCACTCTCTCTTCCCTCAACAAAGGGCAAATACTTATATGTATGTGGTATCCTTATAGCAAGACTCCTTTGGTGAAGTGCTTTAAAAATCCACAGGTTCTTCTTGCTTTCCTGCCTCAAATCCTACCTTCTTCATCTCTTCCTAACTCCCAAAATAAAAGTCCAAACCAAATCAAGTGTACACTTTAGTGGAGGAATGCCTTCAGTCATTCAATAAGCATTTATCAAGCGTTTAATATGTGCCAGACACTGTTCTAAGCACTTAGGATACAAAGAAAGGGAAAAAGGTTCTGGCCCTCAAGGAGTTTATATTCTAATCAGGAGACAACCTGCAAATAACTGTGTCTGTCTACCTTGCTCTCTCTTTCTTTCTATGAGCTTATACATCTAGAGAAGATCCTCATATATCATATGTATTATGTATATATTCAACATAGATGAAAAGTATTGACAGAGGGAAGACATTAGCACAAGGAAGGATGTTCTGGGAAAGAAAGGTCTCCTGCACAAGGTGGGAGTAAAGCAAGACTTGAAGGAAGCCAGGAAAGCCAGGAGGTAGAGGTGAGCAAGGAGAACATTTCAGCATGGTGAAGAGCCTGAAAAGGCTTGGGAGCCAGGAGATGGAGTGTCATATGGGAAGTATCAAGCAAGCAGGCCAGTGTAGTTGGATCATAGACTACCCGCTGAGGATTAAAAGCGTAACAAGACTAGAAAGGTAGGAAGGGTTCAGGTGGTGAAGAGCTTTAAATACCAAACTAAAGAGTTTATATTTGATGCTAGAGGTAAAAGAGAGCTATTGGAGTTTATTGAGTAGGAGGGTGACAAGCTTTAGGAAGGTCACCTTCGCAAAAGAAGGGAGGATAGACTGGGGTGAGAAGAGTGTTGAGGCAGGGAAATCAACCAGAAGGCTATTTCAATAGTCCAATTGTGAGGCGATGAGGGCCTGCACCAAGATGGTGGCTCTCTGAATAGAAAGAAAGGGATGTTTATAAGGGATGTTTTGAAGGTAGAAAGACCAAGACGGTGGCAGAATGGATACGTGGCATGAGTGTGAGTAGAGAACGACACCTAGGTTGCAAGCGTGCTTAACTATGCTGATGCTGGTGCCTTCAACTATAATAGGGACATTTTTGGAAGAAGGGAAGGTTTTTGGGGGGAAGATGAGGTCTGTTTTGGGCATGTTGAGTTTGAGAGGCCTACGGAATATCCAATTGGAGATGTCCAAAAGGCAGTTAGTGAAACATACTGAACCAGTCCATGAGAGAATGTGACATGAGTCCATAGTGATTAAAGGCATTGATTTAACTGGGTGGGAGAGAAGAGCTAATTATTTAAAAGGGTTCCTCAAGCCTGAGGAGCTGAGCAAAGGTGTTTTGGGTTCCAGTATCTGTTCTTTTGCTTACGTATTGTGCAAGTCTGTGTACACCTCTTCATAGCCTTTCTTTCCTTCTCTGTAAAATGCTCTATTTTACGGGGTTGTTAGAGAAATTAAATGGAATCATGGCTGTCAATGCCCTTTAAATGTGGGGAGCAGGGATGTTATTGAAGGTGATGAGCTACCGTTTCCTTTAAGGTTCAAAATCAGGCCTATAACAAGCAGTGCCTGGCCCAGGTCTCTCTATTCCCTTGGGAACAGGGTCTCAACAAGTAGTCTCCAGGTCCCTTTCGGCCCTAAATCCTACAGCTTTGCAGGAAGCAGGAGAAGGGTAAAAAACAAACAAACAGAATGGTAGAAAATATGAACCCTCGGCTAAAACCACACCCGGACAGAATGAACTTGTTTATCCCTCCTTAGCAGCGCCCCCGCCTCTAAAGAATCAGTCACGTGACGCCACTCCCCCCTCCCCCCCGCCCCATTTCTCGTGGCTCCTCCCGCAGCGCCGGCGCTTCTTTCTGCCGCCTTCAAAGTCACAAGACTTTACCATGGCCTTCTCTCTCAATCCTTCCGCCAGTTCCCGCCCCGCCCCCCCTCCGCAGCAAGCACACTTTATGCTCACTCTTTAGTTCCCTTAGACATATTTCCATTCCACAGATAGGTATTCTTCATCTCCTGTGGGAGGTCTAACTACAGGAGGATGTCCACGGTAAACCTCCGCGGTCGAGTTGGGAGCTGGGGTGTCAGCGGGCACTCTTTTCCGTGGCGGAAGTTTCCAGAGGCTTTCGCTGTGCGCAGCTGAGGGAGGGGAGGGGGAGGGGAGAGCTGTACGTCCAAGATGGCGGCGCCCTGTAGGCTGGAGGAGCTGTGAGAGGTAAACAGCCGAGGGGGAGGAGGCGGTGGGTGAGTATAAGGGTGTCGCTCTTCTCCTTCTCACCGGGGATCCCAGGGGTGGCCCGCGCTCTGGAGGGCTTGTCAGGGAGGGTCCTGGCAGAAAGAGGGGGCGCTGGTGCTGGGCGTTTGGGAGGAGGGGGGCTTCGTTGGCGGTCCCCTCCTTCTTTGCTTTCCCCTTCTCTTCTCTTTCTCTTTGGGGGCTGGACCCTGCGGGGACTGGCAGCTCTCTAGGAGGAGGGGGGCGAGCCCCCTGGATTGCCCCTCGGACGGCGCCTGACCCCAGGCCCCCTAACCTCCCAGGCCCCGGTGCCGAGGGGAACCCTGAGATGATGGGCTCTCTTCCCTGCAGCTCCTCCTTTCCCTCACTTTCCGGGGGTGACGGTTTCCCCGGGGGTGGGAAGCACTCACAGCCTCTCTGAGGAGATCAGGGCTCTTGACTCTTTAAGGGGTGGCGAGGGGAAAGGGCCGGGGACCCTACTGGAAGGGTCGAAGAGAGAATGAATGGAGGGAGGCGAAGTGTCCTGTTGCACTTACTTCAGCCTCATTTTCTCTCTTCCTTCCCACCCTCTGCCTCGGTTGAGATTTATCTTAATTAAGTGTTTTGCACTTTGGGAGCTTCAGCGCATCCAGAGGGTTTAAAGCTGGAAGAGTCCTTAGAGATCGTCTAGTCTAACCCCCTCATTTGTCAAATGAGGAAACTGAGGCCCGAGAGGAGAAGTGGTTTTGCCCGTTAATTGATGATGACGTTAAGGTAACTGTCAGCACAAGTAATACTTAAAATGCTATTTGCAGTGACTTCGAACCAACCACAGGTCACCCATTCATTCATTTAAGGGAGCAGAGGGTGAAGAGACCTCTTTCTGGAGATGGCTGCTTTATTAAAAGCATTTTCTTTGCTTGCAGTGATAAAAGATTTTTCTTTGGTGTCAGTGAATCTTGTTTTTCTAGTTCTGAAACCTTTACTGGGTTTCCTAAGTCTAGCTCATATATTTGCTTATGTCTAGATTCCCATTCTTGTCATTCAGTGGAGATGGAGCTAATCTTTTGGATTTCTTTTTCTTTTTTTTCTTTTTTTTGGAGGGGGTGTGTGTGTGTGTGTGTGTGTGTGTGTGTATGTGGTGTGTGTTTCTTGACTGTTTACAGGAGAAATAAGCTACTCCTCCACCAAAAATATAAAATGGCAATATCATAAACATTCTATTCTGTACGTATTGTGTATTGTGTATTATGTATGTATGTATTATGTAGAAAATATTCAGGACCTTTTTAACAGGTTAGGTCTGGATGCCTCCTTTGCCTATCTTATCGTGTCTTGTATTATACTTATTTGTGTACATATTGAATCCCTCCTGGTAAGTTGTAAGAATGGGGATTGTCCTTTTTCTTCCTTGTATTCGCATTGCTTAGCAGCTTATAGACACTTTATAAATGTTTGTTGACTTGAAGTATAAAGAATTCAATGCAGTGGGGTATATTTATGCTAGACTATTTGGTTTCTATAGATAAGTTCCCCAAACAGAAAATATTTTTCTCCAAGATAAAATAAGCTTTTGTGTTAGACTTTGATAGCTAGTCAAGATATATATTTGCTAATATATGAAGAATTTAAATCTGAGATGCTTTGTTTTTTGTAATCTTGGGATAAACTTGTAGTCTTCCGAATTCAAATACATCCTGGCTAAATGGAATTGTAAATTTCAGGAGGCAGTGTTAAACCCAGTCTTCAGAGAACTCTTGATTTATGCAGTGAACACCTGTGATCCTTAAATTGAACATCCTAAATAAACCCTGAATATGCAAATGTGTAAACTGATTTGGGGCTGTGTAGGGAAATATACTTTTAACAGTCATGCATCAGGCAAATGAGGCTACTCAACACTGAAACATTCTTTGCTATTGCCCTGGGGAGCTACAGAATCTTCTTATAACCACCTGGTGCAAGCTTAAGGGGTATTTATAGTAGATATAAATGGAAAATACCACCTTCTCCATACCTACTAAAGTTAATATCTTATCCAAAACACAAAACAACTATAGTATGTCATTTCTAAGAATGCAGATGATGTCAGCTTTTTTTTTGCTTCATGCATTTCTTGGTGGCATGAAGCACATGGCATGTTTTTAAGCCCTTAGTTAGAATGCCTTTGTCAGCTTCCTTAACCTGTTCATTCTAGATTTGAGAACCCATAAACTGGCTCATCATGTGAATCATTGAACTCTCACTGACATATCAAAACAGTTCTGGTATGTTTGGTGTAGTGGTTATGCAGTATATTACTAGGAAAGTCCCTGAAGCTTAAGTGTCTCATTTATGCAGTGAAACTGCGCAATTTCATCAGTATATCAGGGCAAATGAATAACTTAATAGCTATCCAGTATGCCCTACAGTAACAGTTTTCATGACTTCTTTTTCAGTTTGTTTTTGCCTTTTATTTAGGTTAATCATTATAATGTAACACTTGGATATAGATACTCAAGAAATCTTAGTTTGATTTTCATTCATCAGCAAACTTAAGTGACTGTTGCATGCAGAGTACTGTGAATGAGGTTTTTTGTTTTTTTTTTTTAACTTATCTTAAAGTTGGTGCTAGAGGGAACCTAACACTATCTCAGACTCCTCTAGGAAACTTCCAAGGTGCAAATGTACCCTTTCATTACCTTGCCACAGTGGATTAAAGCTTTTACATATTCTTACATTGTTATCTTAAGTTCATATGTACCCCAAAGAGTCAATCCAGTGGCATACTGGAAACCTTGCAATGAAATAGATCAATTTTTCCTTGAAGCCTGTTAGCTGTGTGAACTTGTTGAGTCACTTAACTTTTCCTGGTCTCATCTTTAAAGTAAAGTCGTTGGACCAAATTATTTTTAGTCCAACAAAGAGGTCCCTTCCAGCTCCAAGATTCCGTGATTTTAATTTTTTTTGAGGTTGGTCTTCTTGCTATTCCTCACCCACAACACTACAGCTTCTTTGGCTATCTCATGCCTGACATACTACTCTTCATCTCCTGGCTTCACTGATTTCTTTCAATACTCAGCTCAAATCCTACCTTCTTTTTTTTTTTTCCCCAGGCAATTGGGGTTAAGTGACTTGCCCAGGGTCACGCAGCTAGTAAATGTCAAGTGTGTGGTCTGAGGCCAGATTTGAACTCAGGTCCTCCTGACTTCAGAGCTGGTGCTCTATCCACTGCACCACCTAGCTGCCCCTTCAAATCCTACTTTCTTTAAGAAAGCCTTTCCTGGTCACCCCACCCCAATATCTTTTCCTTGAGATTATCTCCAGTTTACCTTGTCTGTTTCTTGTATGTACATACTTATTTGTATATTGTCTTTCGCACTAGAATGTGAGCTCCTTGACAGCAGAAACTGTTTTGCTTTTGTATCCTCAACACTTAGTACATTGGGTGACACATAGTAAGTGCTTAATAAATGCTTCTTGACTTCTTGACTTGAAGGAATCCCTAATTCTAGCTTGCCTCATCAAAATGCTAATGGCTTTATTATATCTAAACAATTAGACTTTACATGGTGATATTTTTATACATTTAATGGCCTAGAAAAATAAACTGCTCTGCACCTCTTTAAAATCTTATTGCTTAACTTTTTTTTTCTTACTAATTTGTGAATTCCTTATAGTCTTTTTTTACGATGTTATTTTGTGGTGTTTATCTTTTAAGGGACTAGTTGTTTTTTCGTTGGAATTAGGAGTATGGTTGTATGTGGTGTGTACTCAAATAGAATTTCCTTTTTCTGTACTTAAGTATTCACAAGTTAATACAATACAGTTTTCTTAAATCTGAATGAGAAGAGTCATCAGAAGTCATCTCATCGTCATTAGATTTCTGAGTAGCTATGCCTTTGCTTAAATACCTTAAGTGATAGAGACCATCTCAAATTGTTAGGAAATTTATCCCTTATCAAAAAGAATCTGCCTTCCTATGACTTCTCCCCTTCTCCTTACTCCCAGGAACAGTTGGTCCTAGTTCTAACTGGTGGGACCAAGCAAAAGAAATCGATCCCCACCTTTTTTTTTAAAAAATAGCTTTTCAAATACTTGAAAAAAGCAGTCATCTTCTTCCTAAATCCTTTAGGCTAAACATCCCAAAGTTCTTTGACAGAGTCCCTGCTGGTTTTGAGTCCTCTCATCATTCTGGTTATTTTGTAGCTTGTAGATGACCTTCCTAAAATCAAGTTTCCAGAATGAGCCAAAATGTGGCCCAAAAGACTTACCTGGACAGAGGTATATGACTTTCATTTTATATTAAAGTACACATGGGCAAAAATGAACAAATATATAGGTTTCCATTTAAATTGACCTGAAAATCTTAAACAGTGTTATAATCGCCAGTTTCTCTGTTAGTTTTAACATCTGTTGGTTGTCATTTCAGGTAATAAAATAAGTAATAAATTTACCTTTCTGAACCTCTAGAGTCAAAATGCTGTTAAGTTAGTAGTCATTTCTAATTTTCAATAAAAGTTCACAAAATCATGTCCTTTCCTCATGTAATCCTGTCTTTTGTTGTGTAGGGGCCTCAGTGTCAATAAAGGGCAGAAGAGGGAGCCATAAAGTAAAGAGTGCTTCTGTGTCAGATGAGTGAGGAGGGCATTCAGCATTGCACTTCCACATTCTCCTCTTAAAGACATAACTTGGATACATGCCAAGCATGATAGTTATGCAAACCCATTGGTAAGGGTCTTATAAAATAAATAAAATGGTGGCTTAATAGTAATCTCATCTTGTGTTTGAGCAGCAAGGTACATTTTGGATGTTCATTGTGTCAAATCTGGTATAGGAGATGAAAGTTAAATAGCAACAGATTTATGGAAAGTAATGTGTTCAGGCATACTGAAATAATCCATCACTATCTGCTTTAACTTCAGCTGTTTACACGGTGTAATGGTAAAAATGCAAAAGTGTATCAATGTTAAATTATTATAGGCATTTTTTAGAAGTAAATATTTCTAATATTATAAAGTAGCAAGTATACTTTGTACTCCTAATGCATCTTTTTAGTAATAACTTCTGGATACATTACTATTTTTAAAAAATTGGCAAACTCTAATAAGCATAAATTAATTTCTTGAATGACTAGCAGACTGGAAAGTCCCCAGTTGGTTTGTAGCTGGCAGCTTTCTTTTAAAGATGGCCCTATAGACCACAAAGACTGTAAACCATTTTGTTTAAGCCCCTAGGCTAAAAGATTAATTCACTCTTCCCTGGCAATTAAATTTTTTGTTATGCTCCTGATTTTTAAACAAGATGCCACTTAAATCATATTTTTAAGAGTGAAGAACTTGGGTGTCTACCTTTCAAGAATAGGATCTGTTTCACAGCTTCTAAATAATTGTCAAAGTTTACAGTACACTGATGATGGAAACCAATCCATTTTTGGTGTATTTGAATGTTGCAGGACTATTCTTCAAGAATTATATAATACTGAGTTTCTTCTTTGCTTGAACCTAAAAGCAAGTATTTATTTTAGTATTTCCAGTACCTTGCTTTTGACCTTTTTTCTGTAATGGTCATTAACTTGACACCTTTGGTACTTCCCTAGTATATGTTCAGCATGTTGAAATGACAAGTTACATTTCTGATTCTGTGGACATCCTATAAGATCTGCAGGATTTATTATGTCTGATTCAGGCGACACAATGCTAAATAACCTCTCAAGTTCATACAGTAGTCACCTGTCTAGTACACATGTGGGGGGGAAGAGGGGGAGATAAGGAAGGGGTGAAGCATTCTTGGTGCTAGCAAATTGTCAGAATGTGACAATGCTGAGTAATATTATGGCCAAAACTGTTGAGTTCTTGCCCCTTGAGACAGTTGACTGGAGTGTGTTTCTGAGTTCTTAAAATAAGGAGCAAAATTATCTGATTACTGTGCCAAAATGGCATGTATACTGTTGAACCTAGAAACTGGCAAGTTGGAGCTCTCTACTGCCCCTGTTAATGTGACCTTGGAAGGTACTACAGCTGAAGAGACAACTCTAACATATGACCACAAACTTTGGCAGGTTTAACTAACAGCTGTTTTACTCTCTGGCAAGCAGTGTTGTCTTTTTTCTTCCCCTCTCTCTTTTGTAGATTATTCAGTGCTGTTTGAGATACTTGGTATCTTTGGGAATATAATCAGGGCAAATTATAGCTTATGCTTTTGCATTCTTTTTTGCTAAAGAGAAATATGAGAGAACTTTGTACACGTTGCAACACACTGATTACCGTAGTATATCCAAATTTGCCTTGGCCTTTAATAGAAGTATTAACATAATAGAGTAAATTTCCCTTCCTTTCCATTGTATCATTTTAATTCATTTCATCCAGTGAATTGCTCTTTTATATTCATACTCAGCAAGAAAGGGAAAAACAGGGGCAGCTAGCTGGCACAATGGATAGAGCTCTGGCCTTAGAGTTAGGAGGACCTGAGTTCAAAAATTTGACCTCACACACTTGACACCAGCTGTCTGACCCTGGGCAAGTCCCTTAACCCAGATTGCTTTACTTCCCCCCCCCCCCAAAAAAATGTTGTGGACCCTTTAAAAAAATTTTAAAAAAGAAAGGAAGAAACAAGGTTTTAGGGAAGAGTAAAGTTCATATCTATAACTTGCATTTTCCAGACTACCTCATAATGATTTTCTAAGTACTGTTAACTTTGACAAGTAGCTTTTTCTAGGGAACATATGAAACTTTCTTCCCTGAATCCTAAGAGCTCCATGGCAGTATTTCCACATAAAACACTTTTTAAGGCATTTTAGATCCTTTTTTGAACTGCAAACGATAGCTGATAGGTTCAAAATTCATAGCTATTACTTAACTCATGCAGTTGAAAAATTATCTTCTCATAAGTAAGGATGTAGGAAAAAGACTTTACAAGTTCATACTACTAAACAAGTATGGTGGTACATGCCTATGATCCCTGGTACTGGGAAGCTGAGGTTGATGGGTCACTTGAACTTAGAGTTTTGAGCTGTACTTCCAGCCTACATTAAATAGGGAAACCCGATCTTCCCCCCCCCCAAAAAAAAGATTGTATTTAGGTCATGCATGAATAAATAGCTATTACCTTAAAATTCATAGCTACTCTGCATTCAGATATGAAAACAGTCCACTTATGAACCCCAGAAATGAAACCTATATGAGGCTGCTTTAAAACTAGAGAATGTGTTAACTCTTCCCTAATCTGTTCCCACCTCTCATAGTACTTTGCTGACGTCTCTCTAACTGTAGCTTCACGTTATAAATTCTAATGTAGTTTTCTTCTCCATAACTAAAACACAAGCTTCTGAGGGTACAGACAATATATTGAGATTTTTTTTTAAAACCCTAAGACTTAGCTCAGTAGCTTGCATGTATTAGGCACTTGATAAAGAGTTCAGGGGTTCTTAATCTGGGGGTTCATGAACTTTTTCTTAATATTTATAACTTTCATTATAATTGGCTTCCTTTATAAGTCTATGTATTTTCTTTTTTGTGTTTAAAAACATAATGAGAAGGGGTCTGTAGGCTTTGCCAAACTTCCAAAGGGTTCTATGACACAGAAAACATCAAGAACTCCTGTTTTATTGTTGAAGTATATTTCTGTAATTCACTGATCCAACAAATTGAGTGCTTACTATATACAAGGCACTATGTTACATACCACGAGAAATTCAAAGATTGTCAACATCCCTGACTTTTGAAGCTTAGTCTTGTAGAGGAGAATAAGGCAATGATTATTATGCAAAGTATAATGTGAATGTATAGTAAATGCAGTTAAGAGGAGGGATGTAGAAATTAAGAGGGAGAAGAGATTGCTGGAGGAGAGAAGATCGAGAAAAGCTTTGTGTTAGAGATGGCATTTGAGCTTGCCCTTGAAAGGTAGGTAGAGGTCAGGATGTAAAGGACATTTTTAGGTGGAGGAAACCACATTAACCAAGTCAGAGAATGGCAGGATGAATTGATAGTGGTGAATAGTCCAGTTGGAAGAGTTTAGGAGGAGATATGGATAGGATTGTAGGAGACAAAACTGGAAAAGATTTGGGTGTGGTATATAAATGATCACAACTTTATCCTTCTGTTGCTATTTTTTTAGGTTGATGATATGGACTGGGATTAATACAAATAAGGAGTCTATATGACTCAGAGTAGACTAAGCAGTTGACTAAGCTACTTATAGACTGGAGATCTTGTATGCTAATCCTAGTTATCTGCTTGATTGAGTTACCTGGGATAAAAACTTTTTCTATCTGAACATTTGTCTACCCTATTGAAATGGACCTGCCTCATAGCATTGTAGAATAACTTATGTACATCATCTAGTAATGGAGAATTGTTATTTTGAGTACTAGAAAATGCCTGTACAACCTTGATGTACAATTTTTCTTATCAACTGGATCAATAGGTTTAAAATGGTTAAAAGATCTGCAATCAGTTTAATTTTGACCAACGTTGGCTGTTTTTTAATAACTTAATTGCTTCCAACCTACTGCTCTTCAAGGCTTGATTACTAGGTAAATATAGAATATCATTAATAGAACCCCACTTTCACTGGTTTATTCACACTAAATAAATATACACTGAGTAAGCTTTTGCCCTTCTGCTTCATAGGCTATTTCTGTCCTCCCTGAACTTGACTTAGGATACCTGCATTACAGTCTGGTGGGTATAGTGCCCCAGTCAAAGTCCTCAGTCTTCACTGTGCGAGACATCAGAAGTGAGAGCCTCTCAGGGCTTAACTCATTGGGTAAGTGGTGAGATGGGGAAAAGGAGGAGGGGAGAGAAGATAAGCCAGCAATGTGACATGAGAGGCCAAAAAGCTAATGTAATCCTAGGCTACACTAGTAGAAATAAAATCTATTTCAAAGGAAACATATGTCCTACCATACTTTACATTGATAAGGCAATATTTTGAGCAGTGGAACAATTTAGGCTGTCACATTTTAAGAAGGTCTAGATCTTGTGCAAAGAAGGATCACCAGAGCATTGAAGGGTCTGGAAAACATGTCAGGTGATGAATGGTTGTAGGAACTTAGGATATTTAGCCTGGAGAAGAAGAAAGTTGGGGCAAGAAGGGTGGGCATAATAACTGGTTTTCACTGTTTAGAAGGCTGTCATCTGGAAGAAAGGTTACATACTTGAGTAGATAACTTCTAAGGTCCCTTCCAACTCTGATATTCTGTGAGCATATTTTATTATAAGATTAGTGTTTGTACTTATCTAGTGTATTTTTTTTTTGTTGTTGTTGTTGTTGTTGTTTTTTCCTTTAGAGATCATGAAAGACACCAGGTTGGCAGCACTGGAAACTGAAGTACTAATTGTCCATAGAACAGGTAGAGCATAATTTCTTGTGGTTTGTCATTCTCATTTAGGGGCAAAATGCTTAATGTTGGTTTTGGCTAAGTTCCCCCTCTAAGGGGGAGTATGTTTTACATTTTAGACAGTACCTTTGGAGAGGTGATTATAGGCCTAATGATCTTATATTTGACCTATTATTCTGCTGACCATTACAGCAAGGGCGTCATCTGTAGTAGAATAGTGTGTATATATTTTGAGGAGTTGAGAATGAAATTGTATCTGGTATGAATATATATGTTGGTAATTGGCTAATATAAATCATCCAGTAGTGTTAATGTTGTGACATTTATTACCTTCATGTAACTAAGCTCAGGTGGATAGTGATAATCCTATGAGATAAAAAACCTGATATTTTTACCTTAGTAATTTTTGCTCTTTATGTGGATTTTGTTGATTATAGACTAAGAAAAGCACTGTGGTACAGTGAAAAGAACACTGGATTTTGAGTCAGAGGACAGGGGTTCAAATCCCATCTCTCAGTACTTGTTAGATCTTTCTAGGCCTCAGTTTCCTCATCTGTAAAATAAGGAGGTTGGACTAGAGAACTTCTGAGGTCTCTTCCGGCTTTAAATTTGTGATTCTGTGAAAATCTTTGTTGTTGAATCGTTTTTAGTCATGTCTAACTCTTCGTGATTCCATTTAGGGTTTACTTGGCAAAGATTGCCATTTCCTTCTCCAGCTCATTTTACAGATGAGGAAACTGAGGCAAACAGGATTAAGTGACTTGCCCAGGGCCTAATAAGTGTCTGTGGCCAGATTTGAACTCAAGAAGACTCCAGGCCTGCCACTTTATTCACTATGACACCTAGCTGCCCCCTGTGAAAATAGGCGGATGTTTTCCTTTTTTTGTCAGACAAAGAAGTTTCCCTGAGTTTTGTCATTTCTGTTTTCAAGCCTCTTATTTTTCTGTGCTTCAGAAAAGAGCATTTTCTGCTAGTTGGGATTGATGCTCATGAGCAGGTTGGCTGCAAAGTGTTGAATTTTTCAGCCAAAGAAATTCTTGAAATCGTTATTATATAGTTGTAGAGAGCCTGAAGTCTGAATCAGTGAAGGGAGAGCTGACAACAACAAAATCACAAATCTTTGAAGTATTAAGAGTGCTAGTAGGAGTTGTGTCTAAACATTCAACAAGGTGATAAGTAGCTAACTTAAAACTCAATCCAGTTTTCCATTTGATTTACAAAGAACATTTGGCCCAAAGACTTTAATTCTTTTGGGATGGGGAAAATCAGATTTTTAAAAAATGAATGAAAAAGCACCAGAAAGCAAATTCAATAACAAGTTCAGTATTTGAATACCGACTGTGTGTAACTTGTATTAGACACAGTAGGGACAGGTTTTATAAAAGATATAGTTTCTTTCTTTTAGTTTATGATCTGAATAGGTAAACAAGATATATATGTAGATATAGATATGTGTATATATGTATATAGATGGATATGTATATATATATATACACAAAGAAAAATACATAGTAAAACACGTTATATGTAACAAATGGAGAGTTCAGATATTAAGTGTTACAAAAGTATAAAATGGTTGTGATGGACAGCACTGTAAGGAAAGCATGTTAAAGGAGGGCTTTGAGAATGAGATGGAAGGAGGATATATTTAAAATAATAATAGCTAATATTTATATAGTGCTTTAAGTTTTGCAGAGAGGATATATTAAAAGTAGTGCTTTAAAATTTACAAAGCACTTTACAGATATCTCATTTCATTAAAATTTATTTAAAATTAATTTCCTAATTAGAAGGTTTCTATGATTAGGAATCTCAGTTATATATACTTGACTACTTTTTAACTTAGCTGTTGATTTCCCAGGAACAAAAAGGAACATTTTGGAAATAATTAAGTGGCTTAAAAAAGTAGATAGACAACCGTAGGAGTTGAGTGCTTATCTGCTTAGAACTGGTTTAAATACCCCACTCAAGCAGAACTTATACCCTACTTTTACTTTATCTTCCTTTTCTTAAAAGTTGTGTGGAGTTGTTTTCTTTCCTACTCCAAACTGTATACGTGGAGCAACAGTGATTGTGTTTTTTACTGTTAGTACAATGAAGATCAGTCAAATGTCCTAGTTATTTTTATATATACAAGTGTATATGTGTGTGTGTGTGTGTGTGTGTATAGTATTTTTATATATACAAGTGTTAGCTGGGGCTAAGTGTTAGATAATGCACATGATCTTCACATCTTTTTACTTAGGCCTTAAAAATAAGACCTAAACCTAGGTGCAAGGGACCTGTTCCTGTAGACAGTGTGACTGTAGTAGATGGGGGCTACTTGAGTTAAACAGAATGCTATAATTAGATGAGCTAAGTGTTCAGAAATAATCATGTAGCATTGTCAGATTTTTTGCATTAATCACTTACCTACAACTTTGACTACTCAAAGTATACCTAAAATACCTAGCACTCTGCTGTACACTTATCAGTTGGTGGTAGTGAATTCAGATGCTTTCAGATATGTAAGACGTTACTGACCTGGAACTTAGGTTTTTTGGCTTCTCCTGTATTCCGCCTCCAAGTTGCTGTTTTCAAACAGCTGAAAGAGGTTTATTGATCTGAGTGAGTATTACACACACACACACACACACACACACACCTTGATTTACTGTTTATTATTTATGATAGCCAGTCATTTTCTTTTGAATTAAACAGCATCTTATGATTCTCTAATTATATGTGGTTAAGAGCCCAGTAAGTATCATTGTACTTGGGTACTAGACTTGAGTATCCTTCAACGATTCATTTCTTAAATGTGAGTAATATAAAAATCTTGATCAAGTCATATGCTGCTTATCATATTATCTCTTTTTTCCATCTCTAAGACTTAGGATATACTTGTAGCTATGATAGGGGGTTTATTAGAATATAATATCTAAAGTATTTGATTTTCAGGGGTACAAATATTATAAAAATGAATATTTATTGTTTGTGGGGTTTAATGGAATGGGCATTCTGTTTAGAGTCAAAAGACCTTCCATTTCCTGCTTTGTCTCTTCTGTAATTAGATCTTACTTTCCTCATCTTGTGAAATAAAGGGTTTGCACTCTAAGATCTATAAGGTCCTTTTCAGTTTTAAAATCCTTCAAATCTGTGGTCATCAGGTTTTAAGTTTAGAGCCCTTGAAATTACAGGCTTTTGTATGTTATCTGTGGATCTCAGATACTTGTGTGACCAGGGCATTTACCAATCAGCTTTTTAAAATATTGTATGCTTTTGATTTCGTAGGGAATTATACTAGTTTTTTATTAAGACGGAAAAGAAAATTCACCTTTTTCCTTGGTTACTAAACTCTCTTAAGTATTTTGGATTAGTTTTATTGGCTGGCTTTGTTTACTTTATTAAAATGCTCAACAGATGTTCTGCTTTTAAAGTTAGTATCTGAGTATGCAGAATTGGGACCAAACCCCAAAAGACCATTGTGTTCTTTTAGGGGATTCATTATATAAATTCATGTTTTTAGTACTTGGAATCATAGTTTCATAAAGTTTAGATATTTATGCTTTGAAAAATTTGAAGGTTAGGATAATCTTTTGATTTAGTTATATATTGGGATTAGCTAGCAAGAGATTAGATGCCTAGTAAGATTAGTTGGCATTTTAAAGCTTCATTTCTAAAAGTTTTGTGTCTAAATATCAGTAATTTTTGAACCATCACTTAACTTTCAGGTGACTGTTACATGGCATAGCATTTGCCCTGGTGACTAAACATACCTCTCCCATCAAAGCCAGTCGTGACCTCTCCATGCTGTAGGAATAGACAGTCTTGTAAACGCTGTACCATCAAAATTTAATGTTATGGTGATGAGGTTCTTGTTTCTTTTCGGGGTAAATTTCAGGATTGTTTTCCAGTTAATGCTATCGTTCCTGGATTTGATGGTATCCATATACATTGACTTGCTCATGCTATCATTGACTTAATTTTGTACTGTAATTCTATAGTTCTTAAATTAGATTTGAGGGCTTCTTTTTTATATGTGAAATTAAAAGGAAATGTTCTCGGTTTTGTTCTTCTGAATATATTCAGTTCTAAAGCACAGAGAAACATCAGCAAAGCCCAAACAAAGATGGCAAGCATCCAGTTATCTTGCCTACTACTGTCAAGGCTAATTGACTTGGACTACCCAGCTTGTTTCTAAGTTGGTAGATTTTTAAAAATTAAAAACTGCGCTTCCTGCTTTACCCAAATGCTTGTTTTGGTGACAGCAGAAATGCTTTTCAAAAATTTCTAGATGAATTGAGTAAGATTTTTTTCCTTGGCTTCTGAATTAAGCCTTTTTGGCAATTCTTTCCAAGTCTCCGGTGTAACATTTAGGAATAGAAATGAGTGCTCTAGAAGTTATGTAAGTCTTGTACTCCATTATAATGAAGTTATTGCTTTTTTAGAACCATTTCTGCAACTGAGTCTTATAGAATTGATTGTCTGACATAATGCCTGAGTTGTGACATGGCTTTGTGATCACTTTTCTAGGTGGGCTTAAGTTTCTTCCCATATCGTGATTTGGAGTCAAATATACATCTAAATATTTTAATTGACTTTCTGGCCTCTTAACTTCTGATTCAGAGGAACAAATCAATGAATGCCTCAAGGTTTTTGCTTGAGAATTTAAAGAATTTGGATTCTTGGATTAGCATCATTGCATTGGAATACTACATTAGTTGTAGTCAATTACAACTGACTATTTTACAAGTTAACGTTAATATGAAGTGGCATTGTTGTTCAGAGAAGCCGGTTAATGTTGTAGCCATTTACTCTTGGCTTATTCAAGGAATCATTGCAATATATACTGGCTATATTTTTATTATTAACAAATCTATATGAGATACAATAATTGGTACCAAACAAACAACTTTAAAGATTAAAGCAGGCAGGTATGATTATAGATGTTTGTAGTGACTCCTGTAATGTGTGTCTTTTATGTGCTCTACCTTTGATAAGGTGTGAGCATTGAGATTTTTCCATCTTCTTGTCTTGTTTCATTTGACCTGTAGCAGATGTGTTTTGAGATGCCTGAAGAGGGTTAAGGAAGTACAATATGAGGTAAAAAAAAAAAAGGGGGGGGGTAAACCCAATTAACCTGAGACCGTGGTCTCAGTATCATTAGTGTTCTAACCAACAGGGAACCAAGCACAGAAACTGAGATAGATATTAAAGGAAAATTTGTTGTTGTTCAGTCATTTTTCAGTTGTCAAACTCTTTGTGACTCCGTTTTTGGGTTTCCTTGGCAAAGATACTAAAGTAGTTTGCCATTCCCTTCTCCAGCTCATTTTACAGTGGGGAAATTGAGGCAAACAGGGTTAAGTGACTTGCCTAGAGTCCCACAGCTAGTAAGTGTCCAGCTGGGTTTGAGCTCAGGGAGATGAGTCTTCCTGATTCTAGGCCCAGTGCTTTATCCCCTGCGCCACCTAGCTGCCCAAGGGAAAACTTGCCCATCTGTAAATTTCTGTCGTCGATAACTCGCTATCCTAACACTAATGATCTTTTTCTAGTTATTTCATTAACTAGAACTAATATTTGGTCATAAAATTGAGAAGAATGAAATCACATAGACCCTAGTGTCACGTAAAAAAGTGATTATCAATCGTTTTTCTCTTCCCTACTGGCCATCAGTATTAGTTTTGTGTTTCAGCAATCATTTGGGAATGAGGAGCTAGTGGGTAATGGTACCATTATCACATGAATAGTTTTCTCTTTTTTCCTCAGTCTGGTCACAAATGAAGAACCTGTGGAAATTTTAGTGTGTGTACCAAAACTAGCATGAACACATACGTATAAGATAATGGCACAGCAAGCAAATATTAGTGAACTCCTCTCCATGCTGGATTCCTCAGCTCTGGGTGTGTTAGATGACATAACAACTGTCTTTAAAGAGAACCTCAATTCTGGTAAGTAGCTAGTGTGGATAGTGTAGTTTTTTATTTTTTCCCAGTCTCACCTCTTAGTGCCAATCCGGAGAAAACAGCCTACCTCTAAAGTCTCCTTCCTAAGTTAGAATCTTTATGGAGTCAAGATTCATGGCTTCTATGGGGGCAAACAATTAGGCACTTACTCAAGTTAGAATTTTAAAAAACTAGAAATTGGTTTGGTTTATGTGATCTGAATTGAAGTAACATAAATTTCACACGATTTTGCATGATAATTTGCCACAAAGTTATTCTTAAAACTTAAATACAGAATCGAGCTTATTTCACATTGGTGGGAAGAGAAGATATTGAGGCATATTTTAGGTATTTAAGAAAGAAAGCCATATTTAAGCCATATTTCCATTTATTTAGACCGTGGTCCTATGCTTGTAAACACATTGGTGGATTATTATCTGGAAACCAATTCTCAGCAGGTGTTGCGCATCCTGACTACATTGCAAGAGCCTCATGATAAGGTAACTTCTTGATATTTGATGGTAAAACACTGAAGAAATTATGAAATAATGACATAATTTTTAGGTGGCATAGTGGATAGAGGCTGGGCCTGGAGTCAGGAAGATCTGAGTTCAAATCCAGCCTCTATTCCTTACCAGCTGTGTGACCCTAGTTTCACTTAATCATTTAGCCTCTGTTTGCCTCAGTTTCTTTTTCTTTAAAATAGGGACGATAATTATAGCACCTACCTCCTAGGATTGTTGTGAGGATCAAATGGGATAATAATTGTAAAGTGCCTTAGCACAGTGCCTGGCATGTAGTAAGTGCTATATAAATGTTTGCTATTATTATTATTATGTTCAGTACACTAAATGTTTCACATTTGGCTTATCACAGGTAAAATTGTGACTAATATAATTACATGCAGGAATAACTTTTTAATGTAAATTAATTGAAAAGTTGTCCAAAAGCATGTTTAAAATGTACTAAAGACTTTGCTCTTTGTAGGAACCTTATGATTCTTTTGTAGAGAATAAATCATCTCTTAAATTTCTGGTTTGTAAATTCAGATTTTTGTAATTTTGCATGCATTGGTTATTATATAAGAAAAGCCTATGGATGCTGTTAACCTGTAAAGCCATTTGTTAAACCTGGTGCCGAAGGATAGGACAACAGAGGAGGGTTCAGCTGTATCAATACCTATTTCTTTTTTCCTTGGTTGGTAGAATATAAAAACTTTTTTGTATTTGCAAAACTTGGAACTTTGTGATTTGGAGTGTGAGGAAACTTTCTAATATTTTTTAAAGGATTCTAATAACATGCCACTTTTGTCAGTTTTTGCTGCAGAAATTATGTATTCTTGTCATTTTAGTTTGTTGTGATTCATGATGCTTATTTGGGGTTAAAATATGATATAGGTCTCCAAAATGAAGGTGGAAGAAAAGATACTTTTAATCATTACCGTCTCTCTCTATTGTCTTTTGTATCAAAAAACAGATTAGAATGATTTAGACACTTGAAGACTGCTAATAAAAATCATCTTTTTTCTAAGGGCATCACATGTATTAGGTCATATCTGAATGTATGAAATAAACTTTGTCTTTTCCATTTTTAGCACCTCATGGACAAAATTAATGAATATGTGGGTAAAGCTGCTACTCGTTTACCCGTCCTCTCCTTACTGGGGCATGTCATAAGACTGCAACCCCCATGGAAGCATAAGCTCTCCCAAGCGCCTCTCTTGCCTTCTTTGCTGAAGTGTCTCAAGGTAGGCATTCTGAAGATTTGAATGATTTGTTCTATGAGCTTAGTCTCTGAAATACTGAATAACTTGGAACCACTGAGCTTGTTAATAATTATAGTAGGGAGTGCATCGTAGTTGAAAGCCTTCTGGAATCAGAGTCAGACCTTGATCTTCGTCCCAGTCCTGTTACTGGTGTAATGAGTCTCTTCACCTCTGTAAGCCTCAGTTTGTTCAGCTGTATAAAGGCAATATCTGCCTTATTTATCTCAAGGGACTATTCAGTTTAAATAAAAATGCATACAAAGCACTTTGTAAACCATAAAGTGCTATAAAAATAAGATAGTTTTATTTAAGCCAGACTGTTCTTTAAAATTCAGCAATTTTGTTCAAGTATAGTGTAACACATGTCTTAGTGCTCGTTGAATTTTATGATACCTGGAATACTATGGATGCTTGATGTCTGAATTGTCTTAGCCAAGTACAATAAAACTTATTAGTTATCTCTGTTCAGAAGTTTATAACTTAAAGCAGTTTTTATTCTAAACTTTATACTGTTTAAGATGTTAAAAACTGGCTGGTTCATCTTTTTTATCTCTTATGTAAAAATGAATGACATTTTATCTAGGTGCTCTGTTGGACTAACCATAAAAGAGTTTAAAAGACCTTACTAAAGTATTTGCTATATATTCACAACTTGGTTAATTATCCAGGTTAATTATCCAATAATAATTATTCTTATTCACATTTGTTAATGGCATGACTTGATGAATTTCAGCATTTTTTTAAATATACACAAAGGAGCATTTTGTAGCCTAGGCAGAACTGTAGAAAAACATATTTTAATACCTCTCTGGTAATAGAAGACTAAGAGGCTTTAGAGGAGACATTGTGGTACAATGAAAGGAGCCATGAATTTGGAGTCAGAGGATCTAGGTTTGAATCTTGGCTTTGTCACTGCTAATTGATCTTGGACAGGTCACTTAACCTTTCTGGTCCTCAGTTTCCTTATTTGTAAAATAAAGGCTTGGTACTAAGTTATCTCTGAGCTCTGGATCTCTGGGTTGTGTACATCTGGGTTTTATGAGCAAAAGTTACAGATTTTAGAAATGTAATTTAGAACTCTTTAGTGTAATAGCAATCATTAGATTCCTTAGTCTTGAATTGATATCCTCTTGCCTAACATTGTTTCTTGAATATTTAACTTCAGTTGCTTGTCCTATAACTTATGCAGTAATCATATCTCTTTGAGACCTAGTGACACTCTGAATTGATTTCTTTTCTTATGAGTTCAATTAAATACTGCTTTCTCCTGAGTTATTTGGTGATGTTAGAAAACCAAAGATTTTGTCAGAGATAGCTTTACTGTCCTGATTGACCTTTTGTCTGTCTTAATTGGTTTCTTCTTAGATGATCTTATAACTCAATAGTCTTTTAAATAGAGAAAAAAGTATTGACTTTTTTCTTTAGTGATGAATGACTTGGTTATGAATGGTAACATTTACCACCACCAGTGAACATGGAATAAAGTACTGCTACATAGTTTAGGATTTTCCTGACCAGGATCTAAGATATGTAGACCAACCCCGAGAACAAGAGAACAATGTATGATCTAGTTTTGATGTAACATTGGAAAGGCCTAGTGGTGAAAACTTCTTATGCTTTCATTTGAATGCCATAAATAAGTCCTAAAGAGTTAGGAATTGAAATTCACTATATGATGTTACCACTCATCCTGAAAGCTATAGAGGTGTGATGAGAACTTAAGACGATTAACATAGAGCTGTTAAAAGTTATTTATGTTGAGTCTCTTTTGAGTTTATCTCTAAATCCTTAAGGAAAAGTTTCTAAGCTAGTAATGAATGCTCTTCTCATTCTCAGTTTCTAAGTTAGTAATGAAGCTCACTCATTTAGATCCTCATCAGGTAGTATGTAGTGCTGATGCTAGTCTTATTTCTGGCAGGTTGTCTTCACCCTTCTCACTTGACTTTTCCTCTCTGCAGACTGATACAGATGTAGTAATACTTACAACAGGAGTTTTAGTCTTAATAACCATGCTGCCAATGATTCCACAGTCAGGCAAACAATACCTTCATGACTTCTTTGATATTTTTGGCCGTCTTTCATCATGGTGCCTGAAGAACCCAGGTAAGATTCTTGTAGAATTGCACATCAGACACTAGGTGGAGCATATGAGTTTTTTCCCTTGTTATTCTGTGGGCTCTCATCTATTTGGTATGAGCTCAATTTGAATGATTTACAAATGTTCTTGGAAATTAGCTATAAATACACATCTGATAAGCAGCTGAGAGATCGCTGCCTTTTAGTATTCTTTGTTCCAGAAAGGTTAAGTGTCGGAGGAGAAGTCTGTGGTACAGCACAAGATAACTGATTTTTTTAGTAGTAAAACTAGGTGTAATAGACAAGCTTGGGAGCAGAGACTCTCTTTGATCCCCAGCACTTAGAGTGGTGCCTGACACAGTAGGTGATTAATAAATGCTTGTTGATCAACTTAAGCAATTACAAAATGGAGTTAATTGAGACTACTCTGCATTTTTGTACTGTGCAGAAGACTCAGCTCCGAGTGTTTTTGGTGTGCTATCCTGCTGATACCCTTAGAAGAAACCTTGTCTTCTAATGCTAAGAAATATTTATTTATAGGGCAGCTAGGTGGTACAGTGGATAAAGTACCAGCCCTGGAGTCAGGAGGTCCTGAGTTCAAATCCAGCCTCAGATACTTGACACTTACTAGCTGTGTGAGCCTGGGCAAGTCACTTAACCCCATTGCCTAGCAAAAAAAAAAGAAAGAAAGACTTATTTATATATGTAGAGAGGACGGGGAGAAATAGTATGTACTAATTAGAGATCTGGTTTCAAGAGCTATAGAATTTTCTACATATCTGCAGATGACACAACTCCATCAAAGTGACTCATAAGCTTATGAGCATGTGATAAAATTCTTAGTCTTCTGCCAATCCCAGCGTCAAACATTAGCATTGCAGTGATAGAATGTGTAACATTTTAATATCCTATACAGGAATAGAATTTTTTTTTCCACAGCTAAACATGTGGAAAAAAGCTTTCATGATGCCAGCTTTTTTTATTAGTGGAATATTCTTTTGAAGTTGGGAATCATTATTTTGTACAGTTTGCCCCTTTTTATGGACAACTCTTGTCTGTTCTAGGTTTGTGCCTTGGTGCTTTTCAGCCAAAACTCCTGGTTCAGCAAGATTTTTTGACAAATGTGTGTATTATCTGCTTTTTCTCATGTGCTCCACTGTTAGTACTTTCTAAAGAGTCTAATTTCTTTAGGTCATGTGACAGAAATTTATCTCGTCCATCTTCATGCCAGTGTTTATGCTCTCTTTCATCGCCTTTATGGAATGTACCCTTGCAACTTTGTCTCCTTTCTACGTTCTCACTATAGTATGAAGGAAAACTTGGAGACCTTTGAAGAAGTGGTAAAGGTAAAACATGTTTTACTGGTCTTTTTGTTGTTCAGTTGTTTCAGTCATGTCCTACTCTTTGTGAACCCATTTTTGGGGTTTTCTTGGCAAAGATACTTGCCATTTTCTTCTCCAGCTCATTTTACAGATGAGGCACTGAGGCCAACAGGGTTACCTGACTTGTCCAAGGTCACACAGCTAATAAATGTCTGAGGTTGGATTTGAAGATGAGTCTTCCTGACTCTAGTCCTGGCCCTCTATCCACTGCACCACCTAGCTGCCTCAGGCCTACTTACATAAAATAAATTTTATGTAGCTTTGATCTGCAACTGTGGCCCATTCTACTCAAATGGTAGAGATACTTTTGAAAAAAGAAGGGTGTGGGCTTTATTGCTTAAAGAAGAGTCTTAAGTTTTCTATACCTATAGACTGTCCTAGAATTGACTACACAGGGTTAAACTTTTTCTCACATGGAGCATCAAAATTATCTGTCTTTTTTTCTTTTAGCCAATGATGGAACATGTTCGAATTCATCCAGAATTAGTGACTGGATCTAAGGACCATGAACTGGACCCTCGCAGGTATTAGAAACTTAAGCTGACTGATACAAACCTTTTAAATAGTGTTTTAGAGATTGAAAGCTTTTTCTAGCAATAAAATCCTTTGGGTTATTTGTGGAATGGACTTTTCCTTTAACTAGTGGAAGTTATTGTTATGCTGTTCTCCCAGAACTTTGGAACATTAGGAAGAAAATGTTTATTCCCTATAAGGCCTTGTTTGGAGAATGAAAAGGTAGAAAATATACTTAAAAAAAATAAAGTAGACTATTTTAGCTAGTTTCCTAGATTCACCATTTTCCACACTAACCTGAGGATGAATTGGGAGAAGCTTCAGGCTTTGATATGAGGACTTAGATTTGCCACCTGGTGTTGCTGCTTAGGAGTTTCCAAGTCTCCCTGTTTGCTTCTTTGATAAGCAGACTTCTATGGCGTGCTCTAATCAAGTGGAGCATGCTTTTTAAAACTATATTTCATGTATATTCCTAGGCTTTTGAAAATGGAATTGGCTTAATATAGTTCTTTTTAAGCTAGTGAGAGATGGATTTGCAGAACAAATATGTAGCTCTTACTATGCTTCCGAATCTGAGTTGGTTTAAACTTGTATTTCATGACTTTCAATTCTCAATTCTCTTGTTACAGGTGGAAGAGATTAGAAACTCATGATGTTGTAATAGAATGTGCCAAAATTTCTCTGGACCCAACCGAAGCCTCATACGAAGATGGCTATTCTGTGTCACAGCAGATCTCAGCACGTGTTGACACACAGAATAGTTATGGTAAAAAGAGAGAAAACTCTACTACTTATCTACTTTAAAACTTTTTTCTCTAGAAAACACTTTACTCCTACTGGTGATTTAATTTTTTCTCTGGGATAAGGGTTATCAAAAACTTGGGCATTCTTCCCAAAGCTTTCCAATTCAAACCAACTTCCTTACTCCCTTGACTTAATCCCATGTTTTGTAGCACTTATAATTTCAGGGTCTTATGTTTTGATCCCTATGTGGCAGACTACCAGTGATATCACCAGACTCAAGAATAAATATCTTAGACTATTAGAAGAAAGTATGTTTAAATGTAAAACAACTTTGTTCTTGCTCACAAGGGAATATCTACTTTCCAAACACTTTTATCTAGTTATGCACAATAAGGGAGGATCCATTTGGCTATGGAATTAGTGTACTTAAGATAGGATTAATACTTGTAGAAAGAGTTTATTAAACCATAAGTTTATACCATAGCACTAATTAAAACTGCTATCCTCATTAGACTCATAACAAAGAATTCTGATGGTTAACTGAACTGAATATCACTAAATCCTATTTATAAAACTTATTTCAAGAACTTTTTAAATATTAGGCAGAAAATGTTAGCACTCTGTTTCTAATGAGGCAGTGGGACCTTTTTGGAGACAGAATTAGATGATTTAAGAGAACCATGTTCATTTAAAGTGATCTAAAACCAGATGTCAATCCCACTTATGTCTTTCATTTTAGGGAATGCTACTTCTACCCCTTATTCCACTCCTCGGCTGGCGTTATTAAACACGCCAGGGCAGCTACCTCAGGTTCTGAGTTCCACAACACGGCTGTCAACTGAGCCGTCACAAGTATGGTGCCTATTCTCTATCTTTCTTTGTGTTGAAGCTGGCTCATTTGGATTAGAAGTTTAATGTATGAATAGAATATTTCACTGATATCAGAAATTATTCTTAAGATCCATGGCTTAGGGGCAGCTAGGTGGTGCAGTGGATAGAGCACCGGTCCTGAAGTCAGGAGGACCTGAGTTCAAATCCTGCCTCAAACCAAACACTTGACACTCACTAGCTGTGTGACTCTGGGCAAGTCACTTAACCCCAATTGCCTTTAAAAAAAAAAAAAAAGATCCATGGCATAAATATCTAATTTTGCTCTTACCTCTTTTGTTAGTTTTGGCAATTAAAAATCCACTAACTACAATGCTACTTTGATGGAGTTGTTTTAGTTACAGTGTGCCTAACTACTCTGTCTTATTCATGTCAAGGTTACCTGATGCTATTAGAAGGTACAGACAATGTTTTAATAAACACACCACAAGGCATGTAATACCTTTGGATTTGCTACTTCTTCACTATAGTTACCTAATGTTACTAACTTTCTAGGCTACTATATGGAGCCCCTCTGCAGTCTGTGGTATGACCACTCCTCCAACCTCACCTGGAAATGTCCCACCTGAGTTGTCACACCCTTACAGCAAAGTCTTTGGTACATCTGGTATGTATATCTGAGACTATTTTTTGTAGGTTAGTAAAAATTAACTTTATAAATATTTAATATGTATAGCTTTACTGCAGATTTGAGAAGTGAATCTCTAGACATTGGTAAAGCAAGCTACTAGGGTTTTCAAAGCATGTAAACTGAACTTCCAAATGTGATGACTGCTGACAAGCATTCCCAAAAGAAGAATTGAATTATAAAAGTTTAACTGTGGGGTAATAGTTGAAGCTACAAATAATTAGAAGTTCACATAAGTAATTTAGCAAAGGATTTATAACTCCTCCATGCTTATCTTTTGATCAGGTGGGAAAGGAACTCCTTTGGGAACACCAGCAACCTCCCCTCCTCCTCCATGCCATTCAGATGACTACGTGCACATTTCACCCCCTCAGGCTATAGTCATGCCCCCCAAGAAGGTAAATGCCAGGCTTGCCTACCTGCCATCTTTTTCTCCTGCCTAATCATGAGGAGTTGCTTTTAACTTGATTTTATAAAGCCTAATTATACCAAATATGACTTTGGCCTGATATTTTGTCAGTTTTGAGTCAAGGTAGCTAGGCTAATCTTTAAATTCTCTGCCTAATTATATGGTATAATTATGGATTCTTCTCTCAAAACATCAATGAGTATATACATAAACTTATTCTCTGTTGAAAATGTCCTTTTTTTTTTTTCTTCAGGAGGACAGACTGGATTCTGTGAGACCATGTCTACACAGACAACACCACCTTTCTAATGATAGAGGATTAGGTAAAATTTATCATTCAGCAATGGTAGATTTTACAGTCTATCTTCCTTCCCTTGAGCCAAACCAGATTCTTCAGAGGCATAACTCCAAAAGTTAAAAGATGGGGGTTTGGAGTGGGGCAAGTGAAAGACAAATGAAATTTTGAAATAATTCACAACATTGCATTTTTAGGGACCCTGGACACCATAGTAAGTTAACAGAAGTCAAGTCTAACTTGTCTAGCATAAGCTTCATTTTTCATTTTCAAGTTCATTTTCAATGAACTGTTTTAAGTAGGTTGATGAACAGAGCTACATGGATGCCTTTTATCTTACCTCTCTAGAGAACTTAATCTTAGTTTATTTCATTTAGTGTCGAGTCACTAATTTTGAAAACAATGTAGCTAGATCATTTTTAAAGTTCTTAGCAATCTGCAGGGGAAGCTCTGGAGAGATTAGCTCCGTAGTGAGTATTTTCTAGCTTTCTCAAACAGGTGGGATAGATGTTGCAAATCCTTAGTTGTCTTGTGGGGAAGTAGGCTTAATAGTTGTCAATGTTGTCATCTTTGTAAACTAATTTGTCCATTTTTTCTTTAGAAGAAACATCTGACAGTAAGGGTTCTGTCACTTTAAGGGATCTTCCACGGTTTTTAGTTGATCTAGACTCTGAAGAAGATAGTGTTGAGAAAGATAAGGAAGAAGGTAATGCATACGGAACTCTGGCCTATCAACTGTGAGTGCTGCTTAAATGGCAAAATTTAAATGGCCTTATTCTGCCATAAAACTGCTTTAATATTAGTGTATGTACCCACTTAATTTTGTCTTAGAAAAACAAGCACTTCATTTCAGGTCTCCTACTAGTTAAATTGATACTAGTTTCCCATTTTGAGCCATATATAAACACTGCTAAATTATAGCACATAGTCACGGAATTTTCAGAGTTTTCTTCTTCCCTCTTTTCCTTTTAGCTGCAATATCAAAGGAGCTTTCTGAGATCACCACAGCAGATGCTGAGCCTGTGGTGCCTCGAGGAGGATTTGACTCCCCTTTCTATCGAGACAGTCTCCCATGTTCTCAGAGAAAGTCCCATTCGACATCTTCTAACACTCAAGGTCCCAGTGTGAGCACTGAACCTCTAACTTCCTCTGTGGACAAGCTTGGGCCTGACACACCAAAGCAAGCCTTTACACCCATAGATCGGCCCTGTGGGTGTGCCAGTGAAAGCCCTGCTGGTAACAGGGAAAACCAGACTTCATTGGAGACAAACATCTTCACACCTAGCCCTAAAATTCCATCTCAGAGAAAAGTAGGTTTTGGAAGCGGACAATCTCCCCCGTATGATCACCTTTTTGAGGTGGCACTGCCAAAGACTGCTTACCATTTTGTCAGCAAGAAGACTGAAGAGCTGTTAAAAAAAGTAAAAGGAAACACAGAGGAAGATTATATGCCCTCCACTTCCCCAGTGGAGGTACTGGATAGGCTGATACAACAGGGAGCAGATGCACATACAAAAGAGCTGAACAAGTAAGTAACTTGAACTTGTTTCTAAACCCCCTTTTGTTGTCTTCATTGGGATTATTCTACCCAAGCATGAGGAGGGACAAAAAGTAGGTGAAAAGTTTGGAGAAACTTAGTTGACTTTATGAGCTGGAATTTGATATAGAATATAAAATAAGTCAAGCCTGTCTTTTCTAGAAGTCTAGTAGGCCTAATAAATTAAATACTCATTACCTCAAATTTTATTGAATAGCGATTTTCATTACTTATTTCTTTGTTTTGAGTCTGTTGATTTCAGTATGTTTGATCATCCTGTGACTGTAGACATTTGAAAACAGATTGTGATGTTGAGTCTGCTCAGTACTTAGAATTAGACAATAGGAGCACTAATTAAAAGTAATCTCTAATGGGATATCTCTTCATAAGCAATAAACCTTACCATGTCTCAAAGGGCTCTTCTATTTACCTTTGATAAGGCAATTTCTAAAAAAAAAAATGAGTTAAATGTTATTATTGGGAATTCTTAATAGGAGGAATGGCTCAAATAAAGGGGAAAGGGGAACTTCAGAGTGATGAAATAAAATGTTCTAGGAGAGTTTGTCTCCTAAAGACAAGGTACTTAATTTTAGCTTCCAATCTAAACAGTCACTTGAGTAAAATCTTTCTTTGTAGGTTGTCTTTGCCCAGTAAGTCTGTCGATTGGACCCACTTTGGAGGTAAACTTATTTTGTTTTAAACCCAGACTAAAAATAACCAGCTCAAAAGGCCCCAGATATTTCTGTGTGCTTATTCTGTCACAGAAGTACATTATAGGAAAGTGATGATGACTTCTACCCCTTAAGATACAGTCATCAGACTTGTATTGAGTTCCTGTAGTATTGCAAAGCAGGCCTTTCCTGTTTTTGAAACATGGTAAGTGCCACTAATTCAGTCATTAGCAAAATTGATGGGCTATGGCAGATATTCACTGCAGGTTTCCCTGGAGAAAAGTTATGTGGAGAATTTTCACAGAAAAAAAACATGGAGTACACTGATGATATGTCTGGATAAGTAGAATAGGAATCTTGAGTTTGTAGCTGTAATCTTCATTGGCAAAAAATACCCTCAAAGAGCAGCCTGTGTTTGTCCAGCTAGTCTTTTTAAGAGAGGGGACATAGGTACTCGACAACAGTTAAGTCTTGCGTCTTACCCAGTGAATTGGCTGGCTCTGTGTAGCCAGTGGGGTATTTCCAAAGATTATGTGATTAGTTTTGTTCCCTAAGCCTCTCTGCCACTAATGTACACCGAATCTTCATGGTTAGCTCAAGATTGAAATGTTCAAAAGAGGTGCTCGAGCATTTGTTCCCTACCTTTCACTCCTGGCTTAGGCTCTCCACCCTCAGATGAGATTCATACCCTTCGGAACCAATTGCTGTTACTGCACAACCAGTTACTCTATGAGCGCTTCAAAAGGCAGCAGCACGCTCTCCGGAACAGACGGCTCTTACGGAAGGTGATCAAAGCCACAGCTCTGGAGGAGCACAACGCTGCTATGGTGAGGCTTTGTGCGGGTGCCCAACCCTGGTCTGAATATGCAGTAGCAGTGGGCTAGCTGAAAGAGCATGAGACTTAGGAGTCAGCCAACTAGGCTCTAGTCTTGGCTGGGTAATCATTCGTTTCATGACTTGAAGCAAATCACTTCTCTAAGCCTTGGTGTCTTTATCTTTTTTTTTAAACAATTTAAACAACTTTCTTTATATGAACCATTATATTTTCCTCCCCAAATGTAGGGTAAAATGAGATTCTTCCTTCATTTATCAACAAACTTGTCCCTGTAATCCATTAATGAGTAAATGGTAGCAGATTACATTTGTTCACCTGTCATACTCCAATTGGAGTGGGGTTACTATTAGTATTTTTTAGACCAAAAAAATTAGGGGGAGAAGTTGGCAAGAACCTTTCCTCCCAATTCTCAAGGTAGCTCTCTTAATAGAGGGACTGAATGTGGTCACTGTAGGAGCCCCTTCTAGCTAAACTTAGTATTCTTATCTTTTAAAAAAGAAAAAAAAAGGAGTAGAAGCAGATTTAGTCCATAGAGAGATTGCTTTAAAGTCAGAAAAACTTAGGTGCAAATCTTGCCTCTGACAATACTGGGCTCTGTGACCCCTGGGAAACTCGCCTGATCTGCCTCTCAGTGCCATGGGCAACTCTCTAAGACTATAAGTTGCATAATAGTTGCCATTCAGCATTAGTAGAAAGTTTTCTCAATGGGAGTTTTGTACATTATTGAGATAAAAAATCCAGCCCAAAAGGGGGGTGGGGGTGGGCATGCAGGCTGGAATAATCTTCAGAGTCCTTATAGTTCTAAAATTGTATATTTACCAGTTGAAGATCATTTATTGTACTATTGATGACAGAACAGCAGATATTTAGTCTGCAAGTTTTACACTGTACCTAGTACATAGAGGGTGCTTAATAAATGTTTATTGACTGAGTGAAAGGTGAAAATTTATTTTTTTGAGTGTGAGAATGGCCTCTTAAAAGGATGCCTTAAAAATAAGCTATTTTCATGCTATAAAGCTTAGTGTAATGGTGTAATACTTGAGATTTTCTCTTGGTGGGGGAAGAAAAAGTTTGTAGTTAGAATGGTCCACTTTATAATCCTAGGTAACTTAATTGTTACTCTACCTTTGAAGGTATTTGATCCAAAAGCTTTAGAGTCAAACCCTGGCTCATAGTTTTGAGTTTTGAAAAGCTGAAAGAAAATCACCTTGAAAAGTCTCTTGAAGGGACAGGTAGGTGGCGCAGTATATAGAGCACCAGCCCTGAAGTCAGGAGGACCTGAGTTCAAATCCAGCCTCAGACCAAACACTCGACACGTACTAGCTGTGTGACCTTGGGCAAGTCACTTAACCCCGATTGCCTCACACACACAAAAAAAAGTCTCTTGCAGCAAATTACATTCACTCTAAGTACAGTGACTGAAGTATTTTGTCTAAAAGCTTTCCAAGTGAATTGGGTCACATGAAGCTACCAGATAAAATAAGCAGTCTGCAATCTCTCATCAGTAGCAACTCTTTAAGTTTTTTTGGTTACTCATGATTGTTTAAATGAAGTGTTTGCAGAGGAAGAAAATGTAAACTTTTAAAAAATATATTAATAACTTGTTTTTATATCACCTGTGTTTCTCATTGTGTTCTCCCCTCTCCTTCAAGAGAGCCATTCCTTATGATAAAAAATAAATCAGAGGAAGGATAAAATAGTTTAACAAAACTAATCGCCACATTGAAAAAGTCTGAAAAAGTTTCATACTCATAGTCCCCCACTTCTGCAAAGTAGAGGGAAAGGTGTTTTCTTAATATCTCCTTTTTGGAGCTAAACTTGACTGGTTCATTATAAGTTTGAAGCATTTAGTTTCAATTATTTTATTGTTCTATTTTTGTAGCCATTGTATATGTTTTCCCAATCCTGCTTACTTCATTTTGTATCAATTTGTACATTTTCCCATGTTTCTCTGTGTTCATCATGTTTGTCATTTCTTATAGTACTTATAGTATTCCATTACTTTCATGTACCACAGTTTGTTTACACATTCTTTGTTTGATGCACATCTATTTGGGAAACCTTTAGCTTTTGTTACTTTTGTGGGGGGGTAAAAAACATTACAGTACAAATATTTTTTAAGTACTTTATGTGTGCAAAGTCCTGTGCTAGGCAATTAAAACTTCATGCCACTTTTGGTTTCTGATAGAAAGATCAGTTGAAGTTACAAGAGAAGGACATCCAGATGTGGAAGGCTAGCATGCGGAAAGAACAGGCCAGATACAAACAGCTCCAAGAGGAACGTGAGACTGTGGTGACCCAGCTCCACAGCCAGATCAGACAGCTGCAACACGATCGGGAGGAATTCTATAATCAGAGCCAGGAATTGCAGGTATAGACCTCAGTGTGGAAGAAATTCAGTCAGGGGGAACAGCACAAACTAAAAACTGGATGGGGCAAGAGAATTACTTTGTTCATTTCACCTAAATGAAAGTACTGTTTTCCAAGATCATAACACATATAATTTATCCAGTTGTTTGGTATCTGTGTTCTTAAAACAATATAGGACTGGTGAGTCAAATGGATTATAATTTTTGAAGCCAAGAAATTGTATTTTAAGGAACAAAGGATAATAACATAATTGAAGAATTGATTATTACCACTTGAAGGTTGGCTAGCCCTTGGAGTAGGTACACAATCTGGTCTCATAGTCGGTCATTATCTAATCTTCTGCCAACATCTGCTTGGACAGACAAAGCTGGAAGACTGCCGGAATATGATTGCAGATCTGAGGTTAGAATTAAAGAAGGCCAATAATAAGGTGTGTCACAGAGAGTTGCTGCTCAGCCAAGTTTCTCAAAAGGTAGGAAATGCAGTAAACTTTTAGCCCTTTTGACAGCATTGCCCAGCACCATTCCTTCCAGTGAAGACATGCCTCCTCTGCCCACCATAAGATGCTTGCAGTGGTGCAGCCTTTTACAGAAAAGGACTAAGTTTGACCTTTAGGTTCCTGAGCTGTGTGTCTTCCTTTGGGGTTCACTGCAGATATGAAAACATCCATTTGCCCAGGAATGGGTGAGTCTTTCCTCTAGCTTTGTTACTCCACTGGGCCTGTAGATCTCAGCTGGGGAGGTTGTACATAATTAAATAATTTGTTGTCTGAGTCCTAGGATTTATTCCTTGCAAGTTCCCCTTTCAGTTTTGAATTTGTTACAGTTCACTTGTACTTTTTTTACTCTTTGAGAGTCAACTATTTGGCCTACATTTTTGCCTGTCTTTACCACATAGTAGGCCTCCCTTCTAACCCCTTACTTCTGAGGCCAGGCAATGATGAGGTGTAAACCAAGGGAGTAATTTATTCAAGCCTTTGATTTTTACTCTTGAAAATAGTATGTGTCTACCTTGTGCTCTGCTTTGTAGGTTCCCTTTAGTAGTTTTCAGCTCCGCAGAATTTATACCTGATTATTTGTGTGTGTTCATGTTTTGCTTAGCTTTCAAACAGCGAATCAGTCCAGCAGCAGATGGAGTTCTTGAACAGGCAGCTGTTAGTTCTTGGGGAGGTCAATGAGCTATATTTGGAGCAATTGCAGAACAAGCATGCAGACACTACACAGGTATGTTGGGGTCAGGAGAAATGAAAACTCTTAATACAGAATATTGACATGTGGGATTCAGTCAGATGGCATTGAAAATGAGTGTTGTTGAGAAAACTGGACTCATTGATGGACTGTAAAGCCTGAGTCTACATAATAGAATTATTTTCCCTGCTCTAGTATCTGCTCTTCCCCCATATCCCCTAGGCTAACAACACAAGCACTTCCTAGATGTCAGGTTATGCTCTTGGACCCCTACAAACACCCTTTGCCAGAAGAAAATGAACAGAAAAGAGAGCCAGTTCTATTAAATGTCAGGCCTGGGGGCATATGGGTGCATGCTGGATTATGTGTTTCCTTAGTAATTGCATGTATTTTCATTTTCCTTTAGCTTTTAATTCTGAATTTAATTTTGATTAGTTGTTGAGCTTACTTTTGTCAATAAGATCATCTTGATCCTGGCCTTATGTTAATTTGTGACTCATCAATATTGTTAAAGCAAATGTCTTATGTTAACTTTATAGATAGACCTGAGTAATGTTATTAATGTTTTTGTATTGAATAGAACTTTAATAGTAAATGATTCCTGTCACTAAGTTATTCATCATCCACAGTCTTGTTTAGGATTTAAAGAACTTTGCTTTGAAAAGCATGACATTTTTTCACCCTCTGAAATAATCTTAGGGAGTAAAATATAATTTTCACACTAGGCCAAGTTGCCTTCTGCTGCATCTCAGCCACTTGCTAAATGACAAACTTTAAAACTCTTTTAAGTAAGGCAATCTTAATTTTAGGAAAATGAACTAAATTCTTATCTGAATGGTTTAATGGCTTTGGAAAGTCCACAGGACGGAAAAGTGACTTTGGGGAGATGCTGTGTAGAGAACTTCATGTATTCAGTCTCAGTTGTACTTATTATACTTAGACATGCTAGTTATTAGAAGCACTGAAGTGAAACTTCAGGAGTCATTTAGGCTGTAAAAAAAAAAATCCAAAAAAAAAAAAAATCTAAGCACTTAACTACATGCCAAGCACTATGACAGAAGCAGATTCTGCCATATTCTAATGGACAACCACATGGAAAAAAAAAACTAGATACATACAAGATATATTCAGAGTAGACAGGAAGTTATTTCAAAGGGAAAGGCACTACCCAGGACTTGGTGGGATGGAGATGGGTGAGAGGAGACAGGAAAAGACCTGGATATGAACTGAATCTTTATTCCAGGAGGTAGTGACCTTAAACATGGGAGCCAACCAGTGAAAAGTCACAACGTTAAGAGAGAGAGTGCTTTGTGCGGGGAACAGCAAGAAGGCAGGTGTAGATGGATTGTAGAATCAGTGGAGAAGAGTAAAATGTAAGAAGATTAAAAAGGTCAGAAGAAACTAGTTTAGGGGGCAGCTAGGTGGCGCAGTGGATAGAGCACCGGCCCTGAAGTCAGGAGGACCTGAGTTCAAATTTGGCCTCAGACAATTTACTAGCTGTGTGACCCTGGGCAAGTCACTTAACCCCAATTGCCAAGGGAAAAAAAAGAAGAAGAAGAAGAAACTAGTTTGTAAAGAGTTTTAAGTGGCAAACTGAAGACTTTATATTTGATCCTGGAGTTAATACAGAACCAGTGGACTTTATTGAATAGGGAACTGACATGAACAGACCTACACTTTAGGAAAAGCAGTTTGGCAACTCAGTGGAACTCAGCTCCCTGGATTGGAGTGGGGAGAGATTTGAGGCAGGAAGACCAATTAGAAGGCTATTGTAATAGTCCAGGTAATAAGAGGGGCTGAATTGGGGTGGTGATTGTGAGAGTGGAGAGAGGGAACAATATACTCAATATTGTGGAGGTAGAAACAACAAGATTAGGCGAGGAGATGGATGTGAGTTGAATGAGAAACCAAGGGAAGCATTTAAATAGGAAAAACAAGCAGGTATATGAGGGAGGGAATCGAGAAATGATGAGGTTGTGAGCCTGGGTGACTGTGAGCCCTCCATAGTGATTAGGGAAGTTTGGAATGAATAAGTGGAAGTATAATGAGTTCTGTTTGGGGCATCTTTGCATGCGATGTCCACAGAACATTCATTTCAAAATATTTAAAAAACAGGTGGTGGTGTAGGACTATAGTTCAGGATAGAGATTAGGATTGTATATATAAATTGCAGAATTGTCTGCATAGAGATAGTAATCCAACCTATGAGAGCTTATGAGGTTGCCAAGAAAGATGCTAGAGAGGAATGAGAAGAGGACCTAGGACAGCCTTTCAGGACTGCCCTAGAGCATTTATTTGAATATTTTGGAGCGCTTTAACAAATCCATTCATACTGGTCAGAAAGGCAAAACTAGCATAAGTGTCATACTTGAGTCCTTGCTAGTAGGCTACAGCTGAGAAGCATTTAGATACCATAGGCATAGTTCTGTGCTCAAATGTTGGAATGTATTCAATCTCAGAGAATCATTTGAGTTTTCTAATACATAACATTCCAGACAGTACAACTCCTGAAGTGTCACTGAAGATTTTTTTCTATTAGTTTCCTTTACTTTAGAAAACTTTGAATTATTTTCCCTAAGAATCTCATGTTTCTATGATTGTTTCACTGTGGTATATTCAATACACTGGAAATGATAAATGGATTACAGGCTATCTGATTTGTCTAAAATGAACAGGGCATTCAGCCTTGGAGTCAGGAGGACCTGAGTTCAAATGCGACCTCAGACACATAACACTCACTAGCTAAGTGACTCTGGGCAAGTCACTTAACCCCAAATTGCCTCACCAAAAAATAAAATAAAATAAAGCGAACAGGGCAGGGCTATCTTCTTCAGCGTATTTGGAAAAGGATTTTTGCCAAAGCTTTTGGATTAAAAGTGCCATAAATGCTTTGCCTAAGCCTACCTCCCCAGGTGGTATAGCACATTCTAGCCAACTAAAACTTTTTGTTTTAGTTGGCATTACAATTACTTTTTTAGCTTTTAGTGCATGACACAAGTAGGATCTATCTCTTTCATTTAAAAAAAAATCTTAATTCATTAACAAGCATTGACTCATAGTCTTTTTTTTACTTATGTTTGTTTTTAAGGAAGTGGAAATGATGAAGGCTTCTTATCGAAAGGAACTAGAGAAAAATAGAAGCCATCTCCTTCAGCAGAATCAGCGGCTTGATACCTCCCAAAAAAGGATTCTGGAACTAGAATCTCATCTGGCCAAAAAAGACCATCTTCTATTGGAACAGAAAAAATACCTGGAGGATGTCAAACTTCAGGCTAGGTAGCTTCATTAAGAAAAGCTTTGCATTAGCAGTATTAAGTCCTACTTGTAAGTGAAGCCTCTCAAATTTGTGGTGATTTTTTTGTATTTTTTTTACCCTATTTCAGAGGACAGCTACAGGCAGTAGAGAGCAGGTATGAGGCTCAGAAAAGGATTGCGCAGGCATTTGAATTAGAAATCTTAGATTTATATGGGAGACTGGAGAAGGATGGCCTCCTGAAAAAACTTGAAGAAAAGACAGAAGCAGCTGAGGCAGCTGAGGAAAGGTAAGGACAGGTTGGGAAGAAAGTGGGATTCCATGTTCTGGAGGTACATTTATATCCATTTATGTTTGGCAACTAAATTTATACTTGGAACTAAAGAGCTAAGGCAGTAGTTTTTTTTAAACCCAATAAAACCACATAGTCTTAAATTTAACAAAAAATAACTTAATACACTTTGTGCTAGCTTCCATTTCTCTTCCATCTGTGTACTGATTTTATTAATAGTCATAGTTATTGTGTCCTGTTCTAATTCTTCACTTTACATTACTTTGTTTTCCCATATTTCTTTGTTCCTCATTTAAATATTGCAACAATTAATTTAAATGATAAACCATAATCTGTTGATTCTTTGGATCTTTAGATATTCAGTTTCCTGGCAGTGAGTTTTTTGGGGGGTGTTTTTGTATTAAAAACTTGCTTTTAATTTTATATAGCTAGGTCTTTTTTTAAAATAGTGTTCAGAGATAGTATGGCATAATGGATAAAGTTGGCCTCAGAGTCAAGACATACTGGGTTTAATCCTTTCTCTGACATATACTGACTATAACTCTGGGCAAGTCACTTAACCTCTTAAGTTGTTGCCCAGGCAACTTTCTAAAGATTTAATTTGTAGGGCAGATGTTGTTATGCATTGATAAGGGGCAAGTTTTCTTATTGTGAATTCCCTATATCAGTTAAATCTTCTGTCTGGTACAAAGCATGAATAAGATCCTTAAAATATAGTCTTGACAGTGGACTTACCAGATCAAAGAATATGATCCCCTTTTTTCGGTGGGGGGGGGCAGTTGGGGTTAAGTGACTTGCCCAGGGTCACAAAGCTAGTGTCTGAGGCTAGATTTGAATTCAGATCCTCTTGACTCCAGGGCCAGTACTCTATCCACTGTGCCATGGGGCACCTAGCTGCCCCATGGTCCTTTTTGAAACTTGTTATTTTGCCAGATTGCTTTCCCAAAAGACTACATGAGTTTAAAATTCCACCAATAATATAATAGTGCCTTTTCCTACACACACTGAAACATTAAATTTTATCTTTTTAAGCACTTTTTGCCATTTTAATTGGAGGTGAAAATGTCTCTAACTGATTTAATAAACATTTCTTTTTATTAAGGGCTTGAACAATTTTACTAATGATTATAATTTATGTTTCCTCGTTTATACCTTTTGTTTATATCCCAAGGCAATTTGGTTTGTCAAAGAGGTTCCCTTTCAACTCATGCCCTTCTAGAAGAAATTCTATGTGAGTCCTTAAGATATTTTAAGTTCCTAAGATGTTCTCGCATAGCCTCCCTTGACTCCATGATGGTAGGAGTCAGCAATACCTGGGAGCTCATGCTTATGCTTGATTCTGCCCCCACTGTGTTGTATAAAGTGGGTCACAAACTAGATGAGTTGGTTAGGGTTAGCAGATCTGAACCAACAGCCGTTTCTGAGTTGTTGCTGTTGTAACAGTTAGCTTTTAGATGACAATGCAAATCATAACCATTATCTTTTTTTCCCCTCACCTTCATTTGTCATTAACAGGCTTGACTGTTGTAATGAAGGTTGCCCTGATTCACTGGTAGGGCACAATGAAGAGGCCGCTGGCCGCAATGGTGAAACTAAGACCCCCAAGTCTGGTAGCAGCCGGGGCAGTAGTGGCAGCAGAGGAGGTGGAGGTAGCAGCAGCAGCAGCAGTGAGCTTTCTACCCCCGAAAAGCCCCCAAACCAGAGAGTAGGGCCATTCAGCAGTCGGTGGGAAACAACTTTAGAACCTTCCACCAGCATCCCTGTGACTGTTGGCTCACTTCCCAGTTCAAAGAGCTTCCTAGCCATAAAGGCTCGAGAGTTGTTTCGTAATAAGAGTGAGAGCCAGTGCGATGAAGATGGCTTGACTAACAACAGCCTTTCTGAGACACTAAAGACTGAACTGTACAAAGATCCAAGCACGGAAGCAAAGGCCCCTCTGGGCCTAGACAACCCTCACCCATCTCCCAAAAACCAGGAAAGTGTTGGACAGCTTCATATCATGGACTACAATGAGATTCAGCATGAACCAAGTTAAAGGATGATGGTCAATCAGTGTTAACTTTCATATTCTTGGCATAGAATGGGAGGCATGAATGCAAGTGTAAAAGCTTTCATATTTCCAGGCTGTGAGTAGCTAGCTCCTGCCATGGAAATAGGACTGAGCTCCTTTTGACAAAAGACTGAATGCAGAACGGTGTTTGGATCTGGCATTGAAATGCCTCTGACCTTTCTCTTGACTCTTACCTAAACCTCTCCTTTCTTTCCTAGCAGTGTGTGCTAACCCAAGGGCCAGTTTGCATTCATAAGTATCTTTATTTTCTTCCTCCTTTCCCCAAATGGTTGCATCCTATAAACCTGTGCAATATGAGGCCAAATTTAATCTTTGAATCTAACGCACACAACTTTCTGCTTTACTGAGGCTCAAGTAGCTTGCCCAGCTTTCAGTGCAGACCAGTTAATTGGTGGTGGTACAGGTAAGTCTGGTTTTTTTTCATTTCGAGGATGCAGTTTACAGAGCCAGTTGCCTTCAGGTGAAGGCTTCTAAATGCATATTTTTTTTCTCCCTGCTTTCTGGTTCTGAAGTTCAGCACCCAAAGCAGTGGATCAAGAAAAAAAGTGGTGTGTTATTCACCTTTATGTTCTTTGGAGGCTCTGATAATGCTTCCTAGAAAGTTTGGTGTGAACACACTCTTTGGCCATTTCAAAGAACTGGAGCTGGAGCTGTGGGGTTTGGTGAAGCACCATCCCTCCTTCCCCTCTACCTCTTATTTATTTGGTGTTGGCTGAAAAGCTGGTACTCTTCTGACTACAACTGGGGGGTGTGTGCAGGTGATGAAACCCAAACTCTGGGGAGGGAAAGAATGGAGACTGGAAATTTACCCAAGGAACCCTTGTGGAATAGTTAATGTGTTCCCAGGCAAATCTTGGGCTGGCTGAACCTTTTTCCTTCAGTTTTTTATCAGTTTCTTTTTGTGATTCCCCCCTTGTTCATCTCAGTATCTAATACTGCACCAGAAATGATCAGAAGTTCCAAAGAAATCTCAATGTCGTTTGTTATGTAGCTGTGGGACCATCTTTTCTTAGGTCTGGCCTCAGTATGGCTTAGGCCAACATAGCTGCAGGTTTTTCCATACTAATTCTAACTTAGTATGTTAAGTACTTGGTTTGCAGGTAAGATGGAACTATTGAATTCCAAGTTTCAGTGATGACGGGTTTTGAGGGAAAATCTGTGAAGTCGTAAGCAATCCGGATCAACACGGGTCCCATTTGGGTGATCAGACACATGTGGACAAGGGATGACTGTGTACTTCAGAAAACTGCCAGGGGAGAGTGGCAGAAAACCCAGCTCTGCCAAAGCCTTGAAAATGTTAGAAACCTAAGAAATGCTTCAGTTGGAATATTAGGTAGCAGATGAAGACTGGAATTACTAGTAATGTTTTGAAGCCTAGAGGATGACGCATGGGCTACAGACAATTATAAAAAGAATAGAGGTGTAGGGGAAGCCAGGGGAAGGTGAAGATTCTTAAATCTTACTGACCAAGGAAATACAGGAAACTCCATGCTTTAAAAATAATAAAAATAAGTGGTAATAAGACTTAACTCTAGTATCCCTTCCCATGTTGAGACTGAGCAGGAAATGACTACACTAGAATTGACAAAATTAGGCTGGCTAATAATGTGGGGACTTCTGATATCCACACCTAATTTGGTTGCATGTTTCATCAGGACGAGATGTGGAGGTAAGGGGTTTTTGTTGTTGTTGTTGTTTGTGGGTGTGTGTTTGGTTTTTTTAATGAGTTGACTTAGAAAGTACTTTAGAGTACTAGGCTGAAACTTGTCTAAGATTTATTCATGGGCAATCCAGTGTTTCAGTAACTATCACAACACACTTAGTTTGATCTTTCTGGTTGGAAAAGGAAAGCCCCAAACTTTTAATAAGAAATCCATCATTTTTAGGAGAGGCAACAAAGACAAAATACCGTTTCTAACTGAAAAGTTATGGTAACCCTAGAAACTTCTTAAACATACCCTCTACAAAGCCCAGCAAAAACATGTGCTACAAGTTGAAAAATACTAGGTACTTGAACAAAAGCCCTGTATGACTAACAAGTGAATTAAAGAAGGCCTTTGGAAGGAGAAAAAAAAAAGAGTTTTATCTTTGTAGTTTTATATACATACACACACACACACACACACACACACACACACACACACACACATCTGGAGAGATTGTACGAATGCTCATTTTTAAACGGAGGTAATCTGGTATAAGCATTGGACTGGGAGTCAGAACAGTTCTAATCCCAGCTCTGCCTGTGACAGTGGCTAGGTAACTTCCTCTTTCTGAGCTTCAGTTTCTATAAAATAAGGAAGGCTGGGTTAAATAACTTAGAAGGTCCCATTCAGGTCAGATATCTGTAATTACATAAAACTTTAAGTCTACAGTGGATGAAGATCAAATATAAAATAGGCTAAAAAAAAAAGCATTCATTCTGCATATACTTTTTGAAGGAGTTAAAAGCCAATAGTGCAATTCTTTAATTACATGGTTAAGCTAGAAAGTCAGTGGGAACACTGGATCACAGTACAGAAAGTTCTTCAGGGGATAAGGATGTAGAAGAGAGGCTCTCCATTCCTGAATTCTCTTGAAGTAAATGGGTCAGAATTATTTGAACAGATAATGGCACAAGCACAAGGTGTCCTAGACCAATACCAAATTAAGTATAAATAAATCACAGATTGAGTGGAATCTTGTAAAGAATCAAAGCATTATCAACAAAGTAAATGGTGAAAATTAAGGAACTCTTAGGCCAGATGTGCAACTAGTTAGAAATATTGACCAGATCATAGAACTACTAGATTATCACTGATTCCCATTCCTTGGGGAGACTTTGAACTCTAGATGGGTGAGTCTGGTGCCCATCAAGCTGGTAGAGTCAGTTATAAAGGTTAGTAACAAGAACATAAGCAGAATACTGTGGACCTTTGAGGGGCAGAGTTGGAAGGAAGGGAAATGATATGATAACAATCATGCCTGAATCTGCTCAAATTTGAAGGTGTAAATTTTAGGCTTTCCCAAGAGGGTTGACAAAGGTCTTATCAGAAAGTTGAAAATTGAGTTACTCTTGGATTAGGAAGAATGTTTGCCCATGGATGGGGAGCTTTCTTAGAGACGTGAACCAAAATGTGTAGGATAATGGTCATTTCTGTGGATAGGATAGTAACAGGATTCCTAGAAGCAATCATTTAACATTTTTACAAATGAAATATCAAAGGTTGGTGGGTGACACTCGGCTTCTGTGGATAGTGGAATAACAAGCCTGTGGGGATGTGCTTCAGGAAAATTTCGTGAGGTCTAACTGGGGAAAAAAGATGACAGATGAACTTCAGTGTGAGCAAGTGTCAATGATGTACATGCTCCAAATCATATTTTAAAAGATGAACTGTTAACATCTAAGAAAGATCTGAGAATTATTACCTCTTTTTTGAGAACATTGTTGCTATAGCTTGAAAAGTCAGAAGAGTAGAAACAAACTTTATTAGGAAGGGAATCGAAAACACAAAACATCCAAACCATGACTCATCTGCATATGTAATATATGCAATTTGATTTGCTTAGGAAGAATAAAGCCAGAGACTAGGCAACAGGGTGACAAGAACAAGGCAGGCCAATGATGGGAGTTTTTGTGAGGACAGAGAAAAATGAAAAATAAAATTTGTCAAGAAAGGCTGAGTGGATATGGTCAAAATTTGTAAAATTATGGAAAGAATTACTAAAGGAAAAGGTGACCTTTTCTACCAAATCTTGGAAAACTATAACTAGAGGTACCCTTTTGAAGCTAGAAAGATATAATTTTAGGAAATCTTAAGTACCCCTTGATAGTGGCTAGCCAATTTTTGGAACATGATAATAAGGTGGTTTGGAGGTAAAAAGTACAGGTTCAAGAAAGATTAACATTAATTTATGAAAGTTTGATCCATAATAGGTTATTAAGAGAAACTAGGGCTGAGGCATGTCCCTAGTCTTTTGAAGTTGCTTCAGCAAGAATAACCATGTTTCTCACAATGGCCTTTGGTTGTCAATATCAGACAAAATACTGGGCTGAGTGGATCATTATTGATCTGACCAAGGATGGTATGTTTCAAATAGTTGATGGAGAAATGAGTGTTTTGGACAATTTAGCCTGTTGCATTCTTTACTCTTCGTGGTATGTACTTTATAGTTGCCCCATAATGAGTGTTTGAAATTGTATCTTGTCCAAAGCTCTGTGTGTGTGTGCGCATGTGTGTGTGTACATCTTTTTGTAAGTTTTCAGAATAGCCTCTCTTGCAAATTAATTGGACCTATCTAAGCTTTTATCAGGAATTTTGTCCAGCTGAATAAGGGATGGGTTTATATAAGGGAATTGGCCCCTGTGTTGCTGCTGTGTGCCCTTGTCTTATATTTGGTTCCAGAATCCATTGTCTAGCTACATGTATGCTTAATGAAAACGTAACAGTTCAGTTTTCTAAAACAATCCTGCAATCTATATGTGCTAATAATATAAAGGGGGAAAGTGAACTCTGATTTGTTCACAAAATTAAACTGGCACCACTGTAAATGGGCAGTGCTGTCTACCTAACATGACTTTACTACCCTGAGATGAGGTGATGAAGGTAGAGTGTCTTTCTTTGTCCCTTCTTTCCCCATTGCTCAGTGGATAATAGATAAATGTAACTTTACCACAAAAATTATCCTTGAGTAAACAGACTAGCTTACCTACTGAACTAGATCTCCTTTCAGAGGATACCTTTGGGAATTTGAAACCTGTAGGCTGAATCCAGGTGCCATGTTTGGAGAGGAGGGGGGGGGAGTGTTCTTTATAGCAGAATCATATGCTGTTGATTCCAATATGGGTTTACCCAGGAGCACCAGGTGTTTTACACTAGGAAGAATTGGGAATCACTTTAGAAAGACTTTGTGTTTCTATGGACCATGAAGATTATGGAGGAACAGATTTTTTGCTAAAGACATAATCTAGTTTTGTAAACCTCAACCACAGAACTTCAGAATAATGGAGTGAGCTTGCAGTTTAAAGGGATCCTTTGGCAAAGTGGCAACACTTTTTTTTTTTAACTGCTTTTAGTTCAAATCTAAAAATGTCATCTTTTGTCAAAAAGGTTCAATCCGTTCCCTGCCTCACGCTTGTAAGCATGTCAAAAACAATCCACGGTAAATGCCATAAATATGAACTGCAAGGGAAAATGGTACAATCTTAGTGAATGAGAATTGGAATCAAAAGGTTTTGCTGTCCTTATTAGAATGTTCTAAAAATGTCAAGGCAGTTGCTTATGTCTAACTGTGAACAAATAAAAATTTATTGTTTTGCACTATTTTCCTGTGTTAAACTGAGATGGGGGATGTGTGCTAGCCTCTGAGCATGTGAGCGCAAAGGTTATGGTTTTTAAATAATAAAAAACAGGGTTTTAATTCTCTTTAATATACGAAATCCTTTTCAGTTTTAACTAACTTAACCAATCTAGATATTTGAAAACTTGGCTAGGGACAGTATGTTACCAAGTCCAAGATTTGGGGTTTGCTTGCTAATACTTAACTTGATAAGTGTTTCTTTTAATTGAATCTATAGCAGAAAGACTGATATGTACCTGGATCATACCTTGTGGTTATGACTAAAAAGGGACCAGACAAGAATGGATAACTTGGTGTAAACAGTATCAACAATAGACAACTAGCTGTAAACAGTCAGGAGTGTCATCCTTGTATCTAAAGGTTATGAACTTCTCAAAACTTAACCTGGAATACTTTTAGTAGATGAATTATATGCTTGAGTTGTCAGATTTTTTGTTCAGTACTTAGCCTTGCTCATAAGAATTTTTAAATGAGACAAGGTGACTAATAAAGCAACAACACTAGTAATGTAAAATAATGTATAAAAATTTACTTTATTTCTGTGTCTACCTTTGTCCTTATTTTGTTTAGGGCCCACTGGATAGAATCAGCACACCAGTGATTAGAGAAATATTTGCAACATTTGTGGCTTGTTATCCTGTGAAGAACTGTCTGTCACTTCAGAAGATTTGCTTCTTTTGTGGACCTCAAAGATTATGGAGGAATTGATTTATGTTAAGATTTTGTAACATAAGTTAACTAAAATTCTGACAACTCAAATAGAGTAATTTGATTCCATTAGACAACTGAAAAGTCTTAATTTTCCAAGGAACTTTTCTGTCTTTGTGACCATTTTGGACTTCTTTTCCCCTAGGTATATGAAGAGTTACTTATATGTCACTACCACCCTAACAATGGCATCTCAAAATTGAAATTTTATGCAAGACCTGTGACCGTGACTCTTTGATCTCGGCAAATTTTTCATCTTTGTCTGTATCGTCTCTTTCACCCACCTTCTGCCTCCCCAGTCCCTTCAGTGGCCCTACTGTTTAAAATTAAGGCTTTTATTTAAAAAAAAAAAAATGAAGGATTACCCCCCTCCTTTTTTTTTTTTAACCTTAGCTAACCTAAAGTTAGGATTTTTTCTTGTTCAACACTTGTGGCTAGTTTAATAAGATTATATACTAATTGGGCAAGTAATGACCTAGATTACACTGAAAAGACCTGGCTTAATAGTTTCTGCTTGTCTGATGACAGTTTGATGTCCTTGGATATTTTAGGATAAATCAAGGGGTACAGTAAGGGGAAAATCCCAATAAACCAAGCCAGAAAAATAGCTGGTGGAGCACTTTAATTCTTGAGTGTCTCCCCCGAGGAAGCAAGAGTACAGAAGCTAAGTAGCCCCCTGTAAAGGGAAAATCAACAGTCAGATATCAGTACTGGTAGGGCTTGATGCTAACACATTTAAAAAATGTTGGACCACAGATGATTCTGAAACAGTGTTAATCTGCTAATATGACATAGTAGTAGTAATAGAGAATAGGTAGTAGGAACTGATCCCATTCAGTTACTAGTTTTACTCCAAAGAGCTTAAAGCACTTTAAAAGGTCAACACAACAAATATCACATACATTCCTATAAAGTGAGAAGCAAAGGAGCATCTTCATTTTACAGGCAGGTAACTAAAGGCAGAAAAAAATTGTGACTTTTGACTAAAGGTACGTGGTAGGCATGGAGTAGAGAACAGAACCCAGGTGATTTGACTCACCAGGTATGTCAAGTGGAGGAGGTGGGGAAAACTTTACTCCCTGCTTTCCTACTTGTTCACCTGTATGGGAAGGGAGGAATTTAGACCAAGATGAGGCAGCTCACAAAGTAAAGTTTTAGTGGAGCCACCCTGTTCCCCTTATTCTGAATACCACCCCCCTCATCATGCTTTCCTCCAATCTATTCATAGAATGAGCCTCCTCAACTGAAGCTCAGAGTGATTTGCAGGTCACATAACTGCTTAGTAGCAAAGCTGGACTAAACTTAAGCCCCCTGACTTCTAGTCCTGAGCTCCTTCCATTACACCACCTGTTCTAATTATTCCTCACCTGAGTTGAGACCCTCTTCTGTTGGTATGTGACCTGATTCATAGGCTGGGAAAAGTTGGAGTAAGAGGGAAAAGGAAGGGGAAGTGGCTTATAGTACTGTCTGGGCCGCCCATTTTCAAGTTAAGATATGGCAGAGACTGTTGGGGGCAGGGGGCAATAGAAGTGGAAAACTTAGTGGATACCAAATTAAATAAGAAACCACCCCCAACTTAACCATTTTAAAATGTTTTGGCTTTAATTTTTAAAGGTTAGGTCTACCAGGTGGCCTCCAAGGAGGAATGAAAACTTTCCTTTCATTTTTCCCTCTAAATTTGTAATGTTTCTTAGGGTCCCTATTTCTTTCTTTCCTAGCCAAAGTCTTTGTGGCAATGGAATGGCAGCTAAGTTTGCCTCCTGAACTCTTCTTTTCACCCTCCTCCTGGTCACTCACATGCTGAATTGCTTTTCGTGGTAATTTCTCAGAGTGGGCTATCCATTCTTTCATTAAGTCCAATGTTACAGGAATAAGGCTCACAACTCCTCCGTAGTGATTCCTTGCCTCATCACAGCTCAAGTGGTTGACCACATCATGCGGATATCTGTAGGGTTGGAAAAAGAGCAAGATCAGTAAGCAGGAGTCAATCATTCCTACCCAGTTCCAAGCTTTTGCTGCAAAGGGTTTGTTAAGCCCTGGTTAACACTTGATCTTGCCAAACAGTAGTCACTCTGTGCTATGTAATTCATTCATATTGGGTAGAACCCTGCTTTTGGAGAACAGGTGAAGGCTCCACAGGTCCTACATGTAGATTTGGATGTGGAATGATCCACAAATGCCTGAGAATAGCTGAGCACCCTAAGGAGGGGAAGAGTGGCCCCATGGCAGGAATGGATTGATCCCATCACTGGCTTTAGAGCTGAGAAAGGGATGACAGTTTTTCTGATTCCCTCATTTTATAGCTGAAGAAAAAGGCCCTGCGAAGTTGTGACTTGTCATAGGTCACACAGGTAACAAGCAAGCATGAAACTAGATCCAAGACTACCTTTACCTCTCTACTAGAAATACTTCATACCTACAACCTCATTCTCATTGAACTGGGTTTAGGGGTGGGAGTGGGTACTGGAAGGGGATTAGGTTACCTAAGCTTTTATCAAGAGAAACTTTGTAAGAAAACCCCAAATGGGGTCACGAAGAGTTGGACACAACTGAAATGACTGAACAATGTATGTAAGGGAACTGACCCCTAAGCTGCTTTCTGTGTGCCCTTATTTATATTTGGCTTCCCAACCCATTGTCTAGATACATGTGTACCGGGTGAGGGAGGTGGGGACTAGGGGTGCTTAGGGATGACACATTTTGAAGAAATGAATGGTAGTGTACTGTGTGCTAGGAAATGTGAAGCAGGTATCGGCAGGACCTTTGAGAGCTGACAACCTATGGCAGAAAGTAGGATTTGAGCTGAGTTTTGGAGCAAGGGAATCCCAGAGATGGAGGGGAGGAGGAAGGGCATCCCAAGCATGAGGAATAGCCAATGAAAAGTCACAGACTTTTTCAGGAGGATGGAGTGTTATGTGCAAGGAACATCAAGAAGGCCAATGTAGCATACGTGGAGGAAAGCAAGATGTAAGAAGACTAGAAAGGAAGGGGCCAAGGTTGTAAAATACTACAAACGCCAAACAAAAGATGAGTAGGGAGGTGACGTGCACAGACCTGCATTTTAGGAAAATCACTTTGGCAACTGAGTGAAAGATGGATTGGACTATGGAGAGACTTAAGGCAGCAGACCAATCAGAAAACTATTGGAATAATCCAAGGGAGAAGAAGTAGTGAGGGGCTGAACTGTGATGGTAGCTGTGAGAGTAAATAGAAGGGGACATATACAAGAGATTTTGAAGATGATAATAATAGCATTTCCATAGCACTTTAAGGTTTGCAAAGTGTTTTACATTTGTTATCTCATGGATATTTGTCACCAGATTCATTAATATGGGATGAGTACCGGTGAGGAGCTGACAGTGACATTGAGGTTATGAGTCTGAAGGAGCAGGATGATCATAGACCCCTTAAAAGCAATAGGATAGTTAGGAAGAGGGGGAGGTTTGGAGGCAAAGATATATCTGGGGCATGTTGAGTTTGAGAACTTAGTTTTGAGATGTCCAAAGGAGAGTTGGTGACAGGAGACAGGAGCTCAGGAGAGAGGTTAGGGCTGGCTGGATGTAGGAATCTGGAAATCAACTGCAGAGAGATGATAAATGAATCTGAGGGAGCTATTGAAATCACCAAGTGAGATTGGGGAAAGAAACAAGGGCCCAGGACGGAACCTTAGAGGAATACCCAGGGTTGGTGAGTAAGACCTAGATGATCTAGCAAAGGAGATTATTCTCAAAATCAAGTTTGTTTTGATTCGCTTTATTTTCAAACCTATGCTATAGACATCCCTTTGAGGAGAATGAAAGTGGGTCAAGAAACCTAAGAATGGCATTGCTTTCTAAGGACCTGGGACCCTTTGGAGCACTTATAATGGGTTACTTCCCAGGGTTCTATTTTCCATTCCCCCTCAGGGTGGTGTTGGCCTTAGTGAATTTTGAGATTCCAAGTTGGTCCTTCCTTTGGCCTGTGGTTTTCTAGAAAGTTATTTGGGTAATTCCACTATGCAGTGCTATGGAAGAAATGGGAATGAGGGATGACCGTTCTGAGATTACCCCCAAGTAATGATACTTAGTATTTATGCAAAATGCTTGGCTCACAATAACTTTGAGAGGCAAATATTAAAAGTATTGAGCTGTGTGACCCTGGGCAAGTCACTTAACTCCAATTGCCTCACCAAAAAAAAAAAAAAGTATTAGCTTTATTTTTTTTAGGGGAGGAAACTGGGGTCCGATGAGTTTTAATTGACTACACAACTAGTAAATATCAGAAAAAAGCCCTGCATCCGGGTCTCTTACATCCAGCACTCAAGACAACAATTAGCATCATTGGATTGCTCAGAGAACATCCTGTCTCTTCCAACCTTGGAAAGGAAGAAAGAATGAAGGCTAGTTCTGCAGGACTCTGCAGAAGCACCTCACAAAGTCTCAGAGGTGGGAATGAGGAAGGCCCTACCTTGCCCGAAGGCAGCTCAGATCATTGCTTTGGCTGACAAGGATTTTGCATTTCTCCAAGATGTTGTTGCTGGCTGGGGTGCCAGGATGCAGGGACTCAAATTGTTGACAGAGCTTGCTCAACTCAGTGCAGAGTTTTAGGAACATATGAAGGATCCGATTGTCAGTGCTGTTGTTACAATAGTGGTCCATGTAGTTCTGCACCTGCAGGAGCATGTGGGTGTGACACAGGTCAGTGGTGTTCCCAGGCATTGATTGACACTTTCCTCCCCACACCCACACCTCAGCTGGGGCCACCCAGAAAAAGCCCAACTGGTATTTTTCCAGCCCAAACTTCTTCACTTTAGAAGGCTCAAATTTTGGTTCCATCCCTTTTGTGGCATAATGCAAAGAACATTGCTTTTGGAGTCAGAGGACTTGTATTTGAATCCTTGTAATTGAGTAGTTGAATGACTTTAGATAAGTCACTTAACTTTTCTAAGTCTTAGTTTCCATATCTGTAAAATAAGAGGGTTGGACAGGATTATCTATTACCTCTAAATCCTATGAGATCATACATCTGCTCCCAGGTGTTAATCAGTGAATGCTTCTGCTTTAGTTGAGAGGTTTTTCTTAAAATATAGTCATAATACTTGAAGGTTTATCAAAGGCTTTACAAATGTTTCTATTTAATTCTCACAACAAGAATTGTTGTTGTCCCTACCTGGGAGGTAGGTGCTATTATTATTTCCATTTTACAGATGAGAAAACTGAGGCTGAGAGATTAAATAATTTGCCTGCTCCCACATAGCTAGTAGGTGTCTGAAACAGTATTTGAATTCAGTTCTTTCCAATTCCTACTCCAGCCTTGCATCTGATGTGCACCTAGCTACCTCTAATATCCTAAACAAATAATTATTTAGGGTCAGAAATAAAATACAAATTGTCATGTTATTACCATGAATGCTATGGGAATTTTTCTAGCAGATTGGCTACACTTTGAGAACCACTCCATCAGGCCCACTCAGTGGTGGGGTTGTCTTGAAGTTTAGCAAAGGACCAGGGACTCATGCAATTGACACAGTTATGAACTCCAGAGTGTTTCCTCATGTGGATAATACTAAGGTAAGGGGCTATCCAGACTCCAGGATTTAAATTTTACACAACAAATCATCTGGATTTTCAAACATTTTTGCAATACGTGTCCAGCATTACAACCTGCAATTCCAATGTTTTCTAAATGTCTTAAAGTAAGAAATATCATGTTTGCAATAATGGCATTCTTTCTGGCAAAATGGAACCAAGAACTTTAAACAATAGAGGTTTTATATTTTTAAGTTGAAATGGGGGAAAATTTATTTTTTCCCCTCTTTCCCCAGAAATTTGAGAACACTTTCATTTTCTGGTTACTGAACAGTAATATTGGGTGACAGTCTTTTCTTGGTCATGAAAATTTGCTAAAGAACATTAAGTTTGCAAGTGGTTGAACTCAACAACTCACTCGTAGCTAAAACAAGATTCAATTGAACCTTTATAAAATGCCTACTCAGGTCAGAGAACTGAGTTAGGCACTGGGGAAGACACAAAAATGGTAAGACAGGGCACAACTTGGTAGGTGTGCTTTGCCACCTACACCAATAGCCATAATACAAAATAGAACATAAGTACAGGAGAGAGGTGCAAGGTTGGAAGCAAGAGTGTCCTGGTAAATGTTTAACATCTGGCTGAACACTACACACTTTGAAGTTTAATCTGCATTTATTAACATTTTCTCCATCAATTTGAGTCTAGACAATCAACAAAATAATAAATCAAGTCCCAATTTTTAGCATTTGCGATTTCTGGGGTATAAATACTCACACTGAAAATTTAACAATCATCTAGGCTGTTGGAGCTGGCCTGGTTGGATGGGACCCTAGAGTTTAAGCAGTCCATTCTCTTTTCTGCTACTCTCACCATTCCAGAGTCACAAGAGTTAAGTCCTCTCTTTAAAGTCTAACTTCTGTGTTTCCTGATGCAATTGCCTTTTGCTCCTAACTGAAAGCTGTTTTCTCCTCAGATCATTCCTTCTACTTTCTCCTCCAGAAAACAGCTACCTTCTGATTTTTCTTTTTGAGTGGAATATAACCTTGCACCGTCGCCCCAATCGTAGTCTGAACTAAGCATACCTGGGTGCTGGAAGTAGTAACGCAAAGCAAACGTCATACCTATAGCCAGTGCAGTGCAGGTGAAAGTTTAACACCAGGCTAGGGGTGGGAGTGAGGTTGGGAGTGTGAAGGATACATAGTGCCCACTTTTAAAAAAAATTTTTTTGTGCCCACTTTTAAATTTAATCTGCATTGTTAACATTTTCCCCACCACTACACAATCAACAAAACGATCAGGCAAACCCAGATTTTGTAGTGTTTGCATTGAGGTGTAAATGCTCGCGTTGAAAACTTAACAATAAATTCTCTGGCCTGTTGGGGCAGGTTCCAGCACATCCCTGCCTATAGGAATGGGGGAGGGGGAGAGAAAGGGGGAACCTAAACCAGTCCCCTGTAAATACAAGGAAAGGTCATTGGTATCCAGGTGTGTATGTTTGTATGTGATTAAGAAGAACCTTGTTTCCCAAGCACCTCATTGTGTTTAAGAAAGGCAGGGCTTGTCAAGTTGAACATTGCTGGAAACAGAACCAAACATTACTTACCAAGAATATACCAACAATACTCATAGCTATTTCCTATCTGAAGTCTAGGCATTTGTGAAAGCTAAGTCGGTTGGGTATAAGTTTGAACTTTGATTGGATGTTAACAGAGATCCTAGACAAGGTACACAGAGCTAAGAAATAGAGAGTCTTCCCTACTCTTTGTTGCCAAACTCACACATCTCTAGTGACCTAGAGACCATAGGATCTAGAACTGCAAAAGGCCTTAGAAACAATCTATTTCCACCCCTTTAGTCTACAAATGAAATGATAGGCTTGAGGCCCACAGAAGGAAAATTACTTTCCTAAGGTAACTTGACAAAGAGAAGATTTGGACCTAGGTCCCTGGACTCCAGTTATGTTCTTTTCAATAGATCATAACTCCCTGAGGGCTCTGTGAGGGGTCTCTCTGCCCATAAAGTGAGTAGAGAGCTAACAGGGCCTGCCCCTTATGATGTGAGATTGCAGAACAAAGCCCACCAATCTCTGGTCCCTAATCGGAATGGATCCCTCAGTAAGTGAGTCCCTTTCTTTCCTTAAGTTTAGAAGGTTCAGCTAGAAAGTAATGGTTGAAGTTCCAGCAAACAGCAAGTTGGCCAAGGGTTCTAAGAGCTCACCACAAACACCCTGCTCCTGTGACTTCCTGCCTAGATCCCTTCGGATTCCTCAAACTTGCTGAAGACACTGTGCCCCTACTATTTAGAACAGGCCTGCGCTGCATTGTAGGTTGTGCGGGCCTGATTTTGAATCTGGTGCTGTTTTCAGTGACATTCTCTGGCCTCTTCATCCTCTCCTTGCCCTATTACCTTCCCCTACCCCCAACATTTCCTAGGAGAGACCCATCACTCCCCATACCTGACCGATGCTTGAGATGGGTCTGATCTTGTCGTGAGCATTCTCCCGGCAGTGCTCCAAGGCGGCAATAAAAGTGAACTGCTGTTGCTGGAAAAGTTTGTAAGTCTGTTCGATGTTCCTGAGTAATTCTTTCACCTCATTCATTGTATTTGAAGCTCATTTAAAAAGTCTTAAAATCCTAGGGGACCGATAAGGAAGAGGGGGTGAGTCCTCTGTTGGCCAGAGCCCTGAATTTACATAGTGGGCTTCCTATATGTGTTCAAAAGCAAAGAGAGAAAATCATCCACACCCTCTTTTCTGGGAGGTTCCTGAATTCTGAATGTTAGAGGCCCAGGGTATTACTTTAGTTTTCTGGAGTTGAGGAATAGTTTCTGGGGGATTCTAGTAAGTAGAATCTAAATTGAACCTTTTTTTTTTTTTGCTTTTTGCTGATGCAATCAGGGTTAAGTGACTTACCCAGGGTCACACAGGTAGTAAGTGTTAAGTGTTTGAGGTCAGATTTGAACTCAGGTCCTCCTTACTCCAAGGCCAGAGCTCTATTCACTGTACCACCTATCTGACCTGTAAATTGAACCTTTTAAAAATTCATTCACACACCAAAAAAAAAAAAAATTCATTCACCCATTTGGTAAACATGTATTGTGAACCTACTCTAGGAAGAACTAGGTTATGTTCTCGGAGGGAAATACAAAGATTAGCTAACTTGATCCCAGCCCTCAGGGGATTTACTGGCTACAGTAGTAACAGACTATGCATTGTCATACATTATACACACATGTATTTAAATTTCTTTTCTATTTTTGTGAAGAAATGAGTGGTAACTATGTGTTCAGCTCCCCTTTCTCCCCTTCAATATATTCCAGTGGCTCCCTATTGCCTCCAGGATCAAATACAGAATCATCTGGCAGTCAAAGAGCTTTATGACCTGCCCCACCCCTAGCATTGCAGCCTTTCTAGCCCTTACTTCTCTCTCCCCACTCCTCCATATTCTGCAATCTAGTGACATTGGTCTCCTTGCTGCTTCTCAAAAACAACAACAAACCACTTCATCTCTTGCCTTGGTATATTTTCCCCAACTGCCTCCATGTCTGGAATACTCTCCCTCCTCATCTTCATCTACTGACCTGCCTGGCCTCCTTCCAGCTTACTTCGAGTACTAGCTATAATCCCACCTTCTGTAAACAGCCTTTCAGGAACACCCTTACTACTACTGCTTTCCCTCTGTTGATTATCGCCAATTAATCCTATATATTTTATATTCGTACATTGTTATTTTGCATGTCAGTCTTCCCCGTTAGACTGGGAGCTCCTTGAGAGCTGGGACTATTTTTTGCCTTTTTTTGTAGCTCCGTTTCTTAGCACAGTGCCTCACAGGCCCTTAAAAAAACTTGTCGATTGTTGACAGACTGACTGATTGACAGGGAGAAGGCTGTCTGCATTAGAAGGAAGGAGACAAAAACATCATTATAATATTCTAGCATACAAAGGGACTTTAGAACATAAAATGTTAGTTAGAAGGGCTCTCAGAACATAAAATATTTGGCTGCTAGGTACCTTAGGAACAATTTAGTCTATTTTATATATAAGGAAACTGAGAACCAGTGAGAGCAATACCATTCTAGTATATAGAAAGCTGAGATACCAAATTCATTGTCTTTTACTTTAGTCCTTGCTTTGTCAGTTGCCCACTTTCTGGGATAGCCATCTGACTCAGTTACTTATCAATTCTGTCATTCATCTCCTGTGGATTCAGTTACCTGTTGCATCCTGTTCCCTCCCCAGTAGCTTTCCTAAGCCTTATTCATCTTTCTCAGCTCCCAACTCCATCCTCCCCCCTCCCCCCATCTTGGTAAAAATCTTCACCCTGTATTCTGGAAATATAGAAATTATACAACTTGAAATTCATTAATTCCCTTTCTGCATATCCCATAAAGTCTAAAGTGTTTTCTTCTCTCCCTTCCTCTAGTCACTTCTGATCTGAATGGGGTGTGTGTGTGTGTGTGTGTGTGTGTGTGTTTGTGTGTGTGTGTGTGTGTGTGTGTGCAGGAGCAATAAAGAAACACCCAACCTGCAATTCATAATATTTCAGACTTTAATGCCTGCATATGCTGGTTTGTATTCCATTCATCTGCACCTATCTTGTCTTCCTAACTAGATTATAACCTACTTGAGAACATATCTTCTCAAGCCTAACTGTGACAATATATTAAGCATTTAATGTGTGTTGAATGAAGACAGCATTTCCATGCATATGAGCTTACTCTGTAAATGTATCTACAGGTATAAGTGGATCCCAGAAGTAGTGGTAAGGTTGAAAAGTTACCCAAATCTACCTCCAGGATTAGATGGGCTAAATGCAAAAGTGGGAAGAGAGAAAGTTATGTCGGTCCTCCAGTTGGCTGCAGACAAAGGCCATGGACTGCACATGGATACAGTGCCCTCTACAACTACATAGAGGATTCATTTCTTGCCCTATCGGTCCATTCTAGTGAAACTTACCCCTACCCCCAATCCTACACATGGTAGTTATGGCTGGAATTGACTTATGTTGTGCCTCTGAATGCCCAGCTCTAAAAGAGATAGGGGTCAATTTTGGCTACCAAATAAAGAGCTTAGCTCTCAACAATGTTCCCCTTTGGATGCCAAATTCTCTTGGGATGCAAAAGCCACCTTGTCTAGTGGTTCCAGAAGCCCAGGAGAGGAAAGCTGCCTCTGCTCTTGATCCTAGTGACTTATGACATGCACACAGAATCCATGTCAAGAGAGCAGCTGTAATAAACTATCCAAAGTGATGTCTCCTTGTGCAAGCGTCACTTGCAACCAAATCAGTATGGATGAAAGTCACAAAGTGAGGGATGTGTGCGGAGAAGTGAGTGAGGGAAAAATGATTACCCAATAGGTTTTAGGCTTTAATTGATTTGTATTTTTCCAGGCTGCAAAAGAAGATTAAATAATGGTATGAAAAGTGCCTACGGCCTAAAATAAACGAGGAGAAAGTCAAGCCATTTCAGAAATGTCCAGGGAGAGAAGTGAACCTCTCCAGTGCAAATTGCAGGTTTTCTTTTGTTCTTTGTTCAAGCAAAGGTGATGGTGGTAGTGGCAATGGCATCTTCTCTCCTCTTCCTCCGTTTTTCTCTTCATTTGGGTTTGATGAACCCATAAAGTTAGGTACACTTTAAGAAAACAACTTGCTAAAGAGTCATGATGTTTTAGGGCTGCAAAGAGCCTTAGAGACAAACTGTATATGAAGAAACTGATAATCCAAGAAGTCAAGAGTGCTCCTTACATCACGCCAAAGCCAGGACCAGAATCCCCCCACCCCCAAACCTCCAGCTGGTTAGAGCTGGGAGCTTAGAGGGCATCTCATTCCAACCTGTCAATTTATGGATGGGGAAGCTGAGACCCAAAGAGGGGAAGTGATTTATTTGCCCAAGGCCACATAGGGAGTTGGCAGAAGGGCCCTCTTTTGTAAATCTTGTCTGAATGCTGATAGACCCAAGCCTGGGGCTGGCAACTGTTGGTTTGAAGAACCACCAGGTAAAGTCTTCAAGAACCAGAGTCTAGACCAAAAAAACCCAACCAAACAAAAAACAAATAACAACAACAAAAAAAAACCTCCTTACAATTACACCAAACACTACTGCTGTTGGTGAAAATTGCTTGCTCCATAACTGGAGATAAGAATTTACCTTCTGCTATTGAGTTAAGAAGTTAGTTCCCTGACTGCTCAGCTATTAGTAACACAAGGAAACACTGGGTCTGCTGAATTGGTTAGGCAATACTCAACATAGATCACATACTCTTAAAATGAATACCTTGAACAATTTTTGTTTAAAAGAAAAAATAATATTTATACACACGATAGTACAACTCAGAAATGAAATGAGTTTCTACATTTCTCAGTTCATGGGTTAGCATTGGTTTCATGATTTGATTTGTAGTAGAAAGTTTTTCCTGGGATACTGGAAACCCTAGTTTAGTCCTAGGACTAAAGTTCAATACTGGAGTTAAGTTTGTGTTCACTCTGTCTTGCACACAGTAGGCCCTCAGTAGAACATCTTTGCTGACTAAGGCTCATCAGATACAATTTGTTTGACAAGATTTCAACCCCTCAGGGTAGTGTGTACACACAGTAGATGGGTTTCTAATAAATAGAGCAGAGGGAGTAACAGGAAGGATTTAAGTTTTTCAGAAATTGGAGCATAAATGACATGCCCAAAGCATCAAAAATTTCAAACTAAATCAATGCAGTAGGGGGAAAGGAGTGCAGTTTTCAGGTGCCAGGAACCCCCTTCCTCTCTCCCCTGAAGGGAAAAATAAGAGTTGAGGAAATTTAGAACAAAATAGAGGCTATATTACATTTAGAAAACATTTTCATATAGAAAAATTGCCTGATACATATGGAATTTCATTATACACTACATTTTAAAATGGGAGGGAGGGGACACAAAACTACTAGCATCAAACTTTTCCCACAAAACATTTATCAATTTCAGAGTTTCTGAGAACAACAGTATGGGAAATGCTGGTCTGTAGAATAATAATGAAAGAACTGCCCTAATTACTACAAAGAGAACGCTTTGGGGGAAACTGCTTTGAAATTGGCATAGGGTAACTCTAGACCCTATGGAAACCCCTGGGGGATCAGGCACAGCAGTTACATTGCCAGTTGCAAAAATGAAAAAATCCCTGGGTGGAGCCCAGTTTTTCAAGAAGAAAGCATTAACTGTCAACTAAAACCCCCTAAGGTGTCATCCTCTGCCCAGGATATCGAGCCAAACGGCTATCTCAAAAGGACTGGTTGGAGAGATTCTGATTCTAATTCTCCCTAAAGTATCTCCCCAGGCTTACAGGAGCCACCACATCCAATCTTGTGCCTGATTCCCCAGAACAAGTCCACTTCTCCTTGACTGTGGTGACTTCACTTTCATCCCCTTAATAGATATGGAAATCATAGGACCATAAAATTTGGAGGGAAAGGTCCTTAGAGACAAGATTATCTAATCCAACCTCTTCATTCTATAGATCGGGATTGAGGCCCAGGGAGGGGAAATGATTTGCCCAAGGTCAGGGCTCAGAGACCACTGGCCTGAAGCACTCATGGAAACCATGACTCCAGTTGAGGAGGTTTAGTGGCCAGCTAGGGACACCTTACATATCTGCATCTTCATCCCCTCCTCTCATTAATCCTATAAAACCAGCCAACCCTGCCCTTTGGTAATAACAGTAAGGTAAAGAGGAGGCAGGAAAACTGAACCCTTGCCCGCTTCTGGTGTAAACCCACCTCCAGTTATTTTCATTAACCTTTCTTTCATGTCCAGAAACTGCGGCCGCCTGCCTGGAGTCAGTTGAGCTGCTGCGACCCCACCGGTGCTCATGGGCCCCGGGCACTGCCCGGGATGGGAGACCGGAGGGTGGGAAGAGGGAGGGGGAAAGACTGAGGCAGGGAGGGGGTGGGGCTAGAGGGCTATTGTTACTTTGGGTACCATGGCAATTGTGTCACGAGGCAATCCCGTTCCCAGTAATCCACCCTACTCCAGGATCTTGGTTCTGAATTTGGGTGTAGGGAAAGGGGATGGTCTCTTTTCGTGCGCCTGTGTGCACAGGAGATTCCACTCGAGCAGAGCTTGAGTAGAATGAGCAGTAGGACTAGAATTCCAGAGACGTGGTTTCCAGTTCCAGTTCTGCCACTGATTCCCTGTGTGAACCTGAGCAAGTCACTAAATCTTTCAGGGCCTCAGTTTAAACAAGAGAATGAGACTAAATGATCTGGAACGTTTCTCTCTAGTTCTGACACTCCGTGAGATGTATGGAACTTCCTCCCCGCCTGGAATCCTTCCCAAAAGGAGAATTGTCCTGAGCTTTGAGCTAATCCAAAGTGCGGGATTTAAACACCTAATTCTAAAATGTTAGAGCTAGATGAATCTTGGAGATCATCTTGTCCAGCTCCTTCATTTAATCTGAGGCCCAGAGGGGAAATGACTTGCTTAAGGTCACTCTGGGAGGATATCATCTACCTCAACTTCCTTTTACAGATGGGGAAATCGAGGCCCAGAGAGGAAAAGGAATTTGGCCGAGTTTCCACAGCGGCAGAGTCGAAAGAACAGTATTCTACTAAATCTGACGTCCAAATCCGATGTGCTTTTCCTGCACTGCACAGGGGCCAGCGGCGGCAGAGTCCGGGATTCCTTACCCAGCCTTGGTTCCCGGGGAAGGAAGGGGTCAGCTGCCCAGACAGGCGCCCTTTCCCCGCGGAATTGGAGGGGGGAGGATGTCACGAGAGCAGAGCGGGGACACTCAGAAGAAAGGAAAAGAGTGGGCAGTCGGACGGCGAAGGGAACTAGTGCCAGCCAGTGGGCGCAGGCCCAGATCAGTTCGCAGGGTCCCGCAGCCATCCGAACCTGCAGCCCAGCCTGGGCGGAAAAGGGGTACGGGGGAGGGGGGAGTGGCAGGGCTGCCGGGGAGGGGGCGGCGGCCGCGGGTTGATGACGCACGGGGCGGCGTGTTCGCGTCCCTAGCGACGAGCAGGTTGCTAAAACTCTTCCTTCTGCAACTGTCGGCGACATGGACGCCACCAGAGCCCCCCATCAGATCCCAGTGGAAATGCCCCAATATGGGGAGCAACATCATATCTTCGAGATAATGCAGGTGCCACGGGAAGCTGCTCCAGGGCTACCTCTCCCTCCCCTGTCTCGACTCGGGTGTGGGCAACATCGCGACTTTCGGGTCCGCCCCCATCTTGTGTATCGTGACAGGTGTAGATAGAATGGAGTGACTGGGTGGGAGCGGTGTCTCTCATTACTAGCCTCTGTGGCAGTATTAGCAGTTGGTGGGGATCGCGATTCCTTGTGGAGTGAGGTTTCTGCAGCTGAGTCGCCGGTCGGAAGACAAAGTCCTCGGATTGTTCCCCTTCGATCTCCTCTTCAGATCGTCAGGACAGAGAAAATAGAAGGGCTTCCCTTATTCTGGCCCTGGCCTGAGTCAGACAAGGGGAGGGTTAGCGAAGGGCCCAAGGCCCAGAAGAATGGGCTCCACCAAAAGGGCTTTTCCTATCAGAGACGTTCAGGACCAAATTTAGGGGCGTGAAGGTCTCGACTCAACCTGGATTCCTAGAAGCTTCTCCAATGGGGAATTGGGATTGACAGGGTTCTTCCCTTCCACTCCCATTTGCAGTAATTAGTACTTAGAAGTTGGCAGTAATTAGTATTGATTGCTGTTGACAACAGTTAAAACGAGAGTTTGGCTTTGGAGAAGTTTATCTGCAAACAGATACTTGTAAAAACAGCCAATACCTTTGAAAAACACCAAGAGACTGGGAACAGACAAAAAGCTAAATAAATTAACTTTTACGAATAGATGAGCAAATTTAAACTGTTAGAAAAAGAGGCAATATTATATTCAGTGAGTTTTTAGTGTCCTACTTATGGGGGTAAAGAATGATTATGGAAACACTATAATTTGAATGTTAAGCTGGAAGGGACCTTAGAGGCCATTTATTCCAACCCCTTCATTTTATAGAGGAGAAAACTGAGGCCCAGAAAGAAGTGATTTGTCCAAAGTCGAACATTACCTTGGGGGGCCCAGAGTAATCTCTAGAACTATATTGTATTAGCTCCCTCCAGGATGTAACTTAAAATTCTTTAGTAATTATCTTAAGTAAAAAAAAATTCTTGTTGACAAACATGCATATTCAGCTTCTATCAGAAACTTTGTTAATTTTCATGCTTTTCCTCCTTGTTTCCTAATTTTTTTTTTCTGGACATGTCTAGATAATCCCAGACACCATTCCGACTGTAGTGAAGTTCAGCAGACAGCACTGCTCTGGAGAATTACAGAGAGACAGAGACAGAGACACAGACAGAGACACAGACAGAGATCTGGTGGATAAAGCAGTATTTGCTTAGTCCTTTCCCTGTTCCTATGCCTATCCCACTAATAATATTCTGTACGTTGTTACCAGACCTCAGAAACTTTGCTCAGGTCTAAAGTTGGAAAAGGTTTGCTGGACAAAAAGTACTCACTTTACTTTGTTTCTTCGTCTCCATTTACCCACCTCACCCAAAATACACAAAATTTCAGTTGAAAGAGCCATCTCTCTTGTCATTCTGCCCATCTGGACACAAGTAGTTGCCAACTGGCATGTTGGGCCCTAGGCATTTTGGGTGAGCCTGTAGGGGGTAGGGGAAGGGGAGAGTTTGGTAGCAAGATAGGAAATTATGATCAGTTTTATCTGTGGCAGCATCTGCCAGACTAGAGCCTCCCAGAATCTGTGGCTGAGCATTTAAAATCCTGGTTCTTTCAATTTCATGCTTCTTCTGATCTAACCCCAATTCTTTGCAGGTCATGCTACAGGAGCTCTTGATTCACCAACCAGAGGAACCCATTCAGTTTATGTTGAATCACTTGCGCCGAGACAATGATATGGGTAAGGTCTCAAGAACTACAACTCAATATTTATAATTATGGTGATCTATCTTAGATAGAAAAACTGAGAGTTAATTTTCCTTCTTATGTTTAAGGGGAGCATGGCATGGGGGGATTTGGAATGGCTAATTAATTAGATGCTTTAACTTCTTTGATAGCACATATAATAAAATGCACTTGAACACTTCTAAAAATGAGAATGTTGGAGCCTTCCATGGTATCAATTATTAATGCTTCTGGTGCCCCATCTGATATTTCCTGTTGTCATTAAAGCTCTCTAATTACCCCTCTTGTCAGGTGTAAATTTGGCTTCCTATCCTACCTGGATAGGCAGCATCTCTGCTTTTTTGATTAGTTCATTATCTGTTAATGAGTTCCAGTGCTTGTAGCACTTCTGCTAAAGAACATATCTGCATGAACAGAAATCCAAAGCTGATGAACTGGTGAGGAAAGACGTACCCGGAACAAGGAATGCTTGTACACTCTCTCAAATTATTTGATTTACAAACTGTTCACCCTTAGGCAGATTATATTTGGCTATGCACAAGTGAACTATCATTTCTGTTCTGCATGAGCTGTCAGGATGAACTGGTGTCATGGTGCTTTGATGTTTCTTTCAAATCAGAACATAAGCCATTATGAAAGACCTACCAGAGCATCAGTGAAATTAGGGCTTAGAGATTCTGAGAAGGGCTTTGTGCATCGATGCTTCATGGTGGTGTTCAGATGGCTGTCAATGTTAAATGATCTTAAGTAGTAGTGGGCAGAGGGGGAAGAACAAGGGAGAGTGAGAAATTCTCTTACCATGCAAATTGTGTCCAGCTGACTCTATCATGCTTGGCCTACATAATTTGTTCTGTACCCCAGCTCAAATATAGTCTCAGGATGGCCTAGGTGGAAATGTAGTTTGATATTATCAGTTGTCCAAACTCTATTTCATATCTCTTCAAAGTGTGGTCCAAAGAGAAAACCAAGTTCTTTTCCTTTTCATGCCTCTAGCATAACCCAAGGCCATCATCACCTATCAAATTAATTTTATACTCTTAAGGCAGGAAAGTTCTTCTAATCTAGAAACTAGTTCATCCTGTTTCTTGGTCTGACTGGACCTTACTCCTCCTAGAAAGGTTTTTGTGTGCTGATGCAATAATCATTTACTAAGCACCTACTATGAGCGAACTATTCTGTGCTGGGCAATGGGGGAGATCTGAAGTTTAGATGAGAAATGAGCTCTTTCTTCATGGAACTTAGGGCCTAGTTGGGAACTATAGCACTTCTTAGAGATAACTGTAAAACTCAATATCACATGATAAAAGTGTAGTGTGGGAGGGGTAGGGTATCAGGAGACTTCTGATTAACTGATTTCCCCCAAGCCCAAATGATGAACTTATAGGACATAAGGGGTAGGTAACAGAGAACAATATATGTTTACTTAAGTGCAAAGAAGTGTTTATACTCTGATACCCCTTTAGGAGATGGGACAAAGTTTCTGCATTAGAAAAGTGTGAAAATGGATTGCTGTGTGAGTCCCAAGGAGGGAAAGGTTGTTACTGACAGAGGGGAGTCTTCATGGAAGAAGCAGTGTTTGAACTGGACTTTAAAAATGGATAAAAGTTCAAAAGATGAAGAAGGGCATGCAAAATATTCTAGGCATAAGGAACAGCATGAGAAAGGATATGGGGGCAGGAAAGTGCTGGGCCTGTTTATGAAAGGAGACATGACAAGGAGTGGATTGAGGAAAAAGTTACAAAGTTAGTATAGCACCATAATTGGGGAAGGCACCGAATGCCAGGAAAAGGAGTTTGGAGCTTCCTTCACAGATAATAAAAAGCCTTTGTAGAATTTTAAGTGGAGGAGTTGTTGAGTTGTTTCAGTTGTGTCTGACTCTTCAGAGACCCCATTTGGAGTTTTCTTGGCAAAGATACTGAGGTGGTTTGCCATTTTCTTCTCCAGCTCATTTTACAGATGAGGAAACTAAGGCAAACAGGGTTAAGTGACTTGCTTAGGGTCACACAGCTACTAAGTGTCACCAGAAAGATGTCCCACCCTTCTTTCCTTCAAAAATGTTTGTCTCTCTTACCTAATGAATAGTATTTGACATTCTTCTATTAGAGCAGTTTTTTTTGGTAATCTTAAACATTCCATAAAAGTGAGATAGTATTACCATTTTTAATAGGGCTGCCCTGACAGACAAGCTGAGAAATGAGGTCATCATCTAAGTAAAAGGGGAAAAAAACCCAACAACAGTAACAGCCACTTTCTGAGTGTGATTGCAAGACACTGTGCTATACAGTATGGGAAATAGAACAAGTCTAAGACTAAAGTTCCTGTCCTCTAGGAGCTTACAATCTTGAAGACAGACATGAACACATTAAAAAAAAAAAAAAAAGAGAAGTACCAAAATAATACTCTGGATACCGAATCCTATAGGAATTGTAAATTTCCTTTACTTGACATCTTAGACTAAAATGCAAGAGCTGGATGGGATTTCAAAAATTATTTCCTTCATTTGAAAAAAATTACTGCTGTCTTTTGTTTTTATATAACCTTCTGAACATATCCCTCTTCCCCCTCCCTTATTCAGTGAACCATCCCATGTAACAAAGAATAAAAAGAGAAAAAAGCAGTTTAGTAAATCTAACTAGCATATCAACTGAATCAGATAGTATATGTAATGTTCAACACCTTTTTAAGGAAGAAAGGGAGCTCCGTTTGCTCTTCTTGATCCTTGGATCAAGCTCGTTTAATTTACGTAGCATTCAGTTTTTGTTCTTTTCATTTCCAGTGTTGTAGTCTTTGTATGTAGTTTCCCCTCCCCCCTTCTGCTTCCTTTATTCTGCATCTGTCGGTTCATATGTCTTCCCGTGCTTCTCTGAATTCTAAAAATATCGTTCATTTCTTATGGGATAGTAGTAATAATTCATTACATTTACCATGCCATACTATACCATACTTGTTTGATGGTTCTCCAATCAGTGAATGGCCCCTAATTTTGTTTACAATTCTTTCCCACTAGAAAAAGAGTCGCTATGAATGTTTTAGTATTTGTATCTATCCCTTCGTTTTACTGATGAGGAAACTGAGCCCCAACGAGGAAAATGACTCATCGAAGATCACACTGTTAGTTTGTAGTCCAACTGGGGTTAGAACTCAGGTCTTCTGTCTATCTGATCTGCAGTTTTTCCACTGTAATTTGAGGGCATTTTTAAAGGGGCTTGAATTATCTGGGCCATTGCCTTAGACTACCATGTCTCCATAGGCAAAATGAAGGTGCCTTTGTTAACTGGCACACCAGTCTTCGACTTCTGTGCTAATTGGTCCTGGATTTGGGTGAGTGGGGGTTAAACACAATACACAGCGACATGCCCAGTGTCAGGTGCAAAGGGGGAGCAGGCCTTCAGACAGATCCCTGGAGAGTGTGCAGATGAGCAAAGGAGGCTAGCCCGCTGCCACATTGGCTGCCAGCCCCTAAGCACAGAGAAAAGCAGATTTAGTACAAAGTGAGCATTTACAGTAGCCCTGGGCAATATTAAAGCATGAGATGGTGTATATAATGGTATGTTTCGTTTTTTATCAAACGTTTGTCCAAGAAAGCTGTGTATTAAAGCTCCAATACCTAAGGGTTTTCTTGTGAATTTTAAATCACCCTCCTAGTTCAACCTCAAAAGGATCTGTGGATGGAAAGGTTTTTTGATTTCCTTTGAAGTGGTTTGAAGAAGTTGATTATTCTTGGCACTCAAGCAGTCTTTTATGACACTGTTTATAAATAATTACTCATGAGCAGGGCTGGAGTTCCAAGGTGTTAGATTTTAAGAAACCAGAATTAATCACATAATGTGCGAGAGAGAAATTAGGTGGAGAGAAAGGCAGCTGATGTTCCCCTTTTAAAGCATTTTCATAGATTGTGTACAATTTTGGTGCCACTTACAGAAACCAATAAGGGGAGGGTTTTCCCTGCAGCCTTCCAAGTAAGATAACTTTGTCAAGATGAATGTGTAATTTGGGTCTCAGGCTTATTCTAGGAGTACAACAGCCTGGATACATCTTCCTTTTCCTCTAAGAGAAAGAGAGAGAGAGACAGAATCATTGGGTCACTGGAGGGAGAGCACACAGAAACAAAAGGCCAACTCAGCCAAACCAAAGCTTTGGAGAAGCAGGCAGAGGTTATGGCCAGCTCAAGCTAAAATTAGCTTTAGATCTCATCATTTCCCTATGCACTCCCCTTCACCGTTGCCTGAACAAACTTCTACTCTTTCCTTCTTCTGGACCTTTGGACGGGCCATTCCCCTCTCCTCCCTGAATAGCCTCCTTCCTCCTGCACATCTCCTTATCCAAACTTCCTCCTCCAAAGGCCCAAGTCAAAGCCCATCTTCTCTATGAAGATTTCCCTGGCCATACTAACCTATGCTAATCCTTCTCTTCTCGATTCCTATAGGATGAAGTATCTAAAGCATTCTTTTGGTAAGCTTATAAGCTTCTAGAAGACAGAGACTTAGTTTTAGACTTGTCCTGTTTTGCCTAGTGTATAACACAGTGCCTTGCAGTCACTCAGCAAGCATTTATTTTAAGTACTTATTATGTACAAATCCTTGTGTTAGATGCTGGTGATATAAAGATGAAAAAGAATAATAGAGTCTCTCGTCTCAAGCTTCCAGTCTACTGGGGAGATATAGCATGCACACAAATGAGCATCATCAAAAGTTCAGTGTGTTAGAGGCAAAAAGAGGTACAGACAAAGGACTATTGGAAAAGAAATAGGAGAAATAACTTTGGGTTGTGAGGATCCGGGATGGCTCATGAAGGAGGTGACATGTGAAGGAAGAGAAGATGTCCAGTAGTCAAAGATGAGCTGAAAGTGGATTCTAGGCTTGGTGGATGGCTTGCACAAATTCTCAGAAGCAAGAGAATACCCAAAGAGACCAGGAAACAACTAATAGTCGAATTTGGCAGGAACATAGAGGAGCATGAAAGAAAGGAATATGAAATAAGGCTGGAAAGGCAACTCCAAGTCAGATTGTGGAGGACCTTAAATACCAAGCTAAGGAGTCTTTATTTTTTGATAGTCAATAATTAACCACAAAAGGTTTTTGAGGAAAGGAAGTGTCATTAATCATGTGCATTAGGAAGATTATTTTAGTAGGCATGTGAAATAGATTGAAAAGAGCAGAGACCAGGGGCAGAAAGACTAACTATATTGTAGGTGACCAGCAAATATCTATGTTGACAAGGAGGAGGAGAAGGAAGAAGAAGAAGGATTTTAACAGCTTTACAAAGAAGGATTTAGAATGGGTGACCAAAAAAAAAATGAGAGGAACATGGTATGCCTACTACTATATCTCTTTCATTCATTAATTCAACAGATATTCATTGAATATCCTCACTCTATCCTCAGTCTTGGCTCTGTAGGATGTACAAAAAAGTCTGAGACATTATCCTTGTCCCAAGAAAATCAGTCTGGATGGGACAAAGTAGGCACAAATGAAAAGCTAAATAACAAGGCACAATATAGGTTTAAGCATCAAAATGTGTGGTACCAGTGATCGGTGTTATAGGATTTCAGAGGAGAGGAAAATAATAAGAGCTGAAATGTTCAGGGGAAGTTTCATGGAGGAGATGAGACTTGAACTGAACTCTGGGAAGTACTTGGCTAGAACAGGACTGTGGAAAGCATTTCAGGTCTAGGTAATAGCACGAGCAAAGGAAACAGCTCCCCTTGCCAGGGTTAGATCAGCTTATAGGGATAAATTAGGTAAAGTCCTCTATGCAGGGGCTCTTCTGGATAGTCTAAATTCTGGCTTATTTGTACTGGAGTCATATCTTATTTATGGGTCATTCCTATTCATGTTACATCTCATCCTACTCCATTCAATGCAGAAAGGGAAGGAGAGTAGAGAGAGGACAACACTATTGTATCCACATCTAAAGGCAGCATCCATGTACCTCGCCAAAGATCTTGTTGAGTTTAGATTGATGATCTACAGTAGTAAGTCACTTTCATTATTTATTGTGGATGTCAATCTATCTAAAGTCTATTTTTGCATATTTTAACTGCTTAAGATGCAAGGATACTATAAAAACATAGAAACTGACAAAGAAGGGGCCTCCCTTTTAATGTTAAATGGAGTAGGGAGTATGGACTGAGGAACATGTTGTTTGTCTAAATAATAGGATGGAAAGAAGTTGTTGAAAAAAGAAGACTGAGGTAGACAGGACTACCTAGGGAAAGCATTCCCAGAGGTAACTTTAATTCATTTTCCTCAGTCCTACCTAGACATCATGAGAAACGACACTGAACTTGGACAATGAACTGCCTGAAAGAGAATATCCCCCTGGGAGCTGGGGAGGTCACTTGCATTCCCTTTCAACATTTAGTTTTCTTTTTGAAAGGTACCTTGCTTCCTTCCCTATGTTCTCACTGGGGGTACTACCTAGTCTCTTCTTTCTGTGCCCTCCAAAAAGCTACTAGGAAAATCAAAGGCTTTGGATTGTAAAAGCAGGTGAGATCCACACCTGACTGAAGAATTGGTCTTGGTCTATCAGTTTGGCTATCAGGAGCTAGCTCTGCCTGACAGAGGTAGTCATGGGGATGTGGAAGAAACTTTGAATTTGTACCCAAAAGACTTGGGTTCAGGAACTGGCTCTGGCACTAGGACTTTCCTTTGTATGTAAAATAGAAATAGTAATAATTATTATTTTCACTTTCTACTTCCTAGGTTTTCTTTGAGGATGTGCTTTGAAAACCTTAAAAACACTGCTTAAATATGATAGGAAAAAAAGAGGCCTGCAGAGAGTTCAATTAGGTTGGCTATCTTCCCTGAGTCAGTAGCTAAGCAAGGAACAGAAGGCAGATCTCCAATACCCTCATCCTTTGCTAGTGGATGAAACATTCCCTCTTTTCACTGGGCATGAAAAAACAATCCAACAACGTGATACAGTCAAGAGTAGATTCCCTAGGGAATCCATGCAGCACCTTGGCGTGGGACGGCTCTCCAGGGGACATCGGTCTCTTCTTCCTTTACTCCAGACTACAGTTAATCAGCTATCTATTCCAACTCTTAAGATGTCAGTCTTTTCTTTCAAAACCACCAGAGACCCTAAACTAATTCTGTGGCCATTTTGGAATCATTTTAGGGCAGGGAGCATCAGACTATGACATAAAAACTCTCAGGCAGTGTTTCCTATTTGCATAGAAATGCCCATGTGTGAAAACAAAGACATTCTTATCTTAGGTTTCATAAATCTAGTTCAGACACTATGTGCTCCCTCCTATTATTTCTCTCGGTAAAATGATGTGGAATACAATTTGCTAAATAAAAAACCATAAATATAAAAATGTTTCTGAAGGTCGATTTACATAAAATACAGCTTTATTTGGGAGAGCATCTCAGAGACAAAGTCCCTGTTTAAAATGCTTTATGTTGTTTGAAATCCCAATTGTTCTTGATATTTATTAGTTCAGCAAGTAAGCTACCTTATCTGTGTCCCCTTGGAGTAAGAAAAATAAACCATCTCAGTGATCACTTACTTCTCTAAACACAGAGAATATGTTCTACGGTAATAGTATCTCCGGCGTAGCCTTGTTACAAATGGTTGTGTCATTTAAGGAAAATGAAATCCTGGGGAGGAGAGGAATAAATACACCCAGAGTACAGCAGACATGGGAGGATGCTTTGTGATGCTGAGATTTGATATTTAAATCTTTTCATTCCACAGTGCCAAGGATTTTTATATTGGGCCCACCTGCCTCTGGGAAAACGACTATTGTAAGTACATTGTATTAAGTGTTATTTTACAGTACCATCTCATTCACCCAGCATTGATGGGGAATTAGGCATTCCCTATAAGTGAATTTCTGAGATACAACATTTATTAAGCATGTACTTTGTGTAGAGCCCTGTACTAGGCACAGAGGGAGCTCCAAAGTTTAGATAAAGTCTCTGCTGTCAAAGGAACCTAGTAAGGGGATAAGTAGCAAAGAAAGCTAGTTATGATGAAGTATACAATATTACATGAAAGATGTAAAACAATGGTACCTGAAGTCTAAGGGGAAAGGTCAATATTGGTGGAGGAGAAGAAGTGGGTTATAGTTAATGCAAGCATTTCTGCAGGACGTGACACTTGAATTGTGCTTTAAAGGATATCTAAGAATTCAGTAAAGGAAGAAAAAGGCAGATGGGTATTCCAGGTATAAGAAACAACATCAGAAAAGACACAGGAACTTGAAAGTGCAGGATATGTTTTGGAGGCAAAGAATAGAATTCAATTTAGCTGGATCATAGAGATAATTGGGTCTTACTTATGTATATGTATCTATGCAGTTAAAATTTTTTTTTGAACATTTTTGATTGAAACTTTTCTCAAATAATAATTTCCTTACCTTCTTAAATAGAGAATGCTGAATGTAATTTGAGCTTGTTTTGTTGATTCAAGGCCATCAGTCTGAATATAGGATTGGAATTTTGTAACTAGAATGAGTTATTTAGCTGAACTTCTTTGTTTTATATCATTTGGTTATGCTATGCTGGCATATAATGAAGTTCTTAGGTTCTATTGAGCTGTTTGTTTCTATACCAACTGACTCCAAACTGCCATATTTTTCTCACTTGATGACTTTATCACCTCCCATAGGTTTAATTGTCATCTAGGAAATGGTTCCTATATCTATATCCAGCTTCTGTCTTTCTCCTGAGGGTCCAGTTACAGATCACCAACTACCTATTGGAAATTTCTAACTGAACGTCCTATAAATATCTCAGATTTTTCATGTTCCGAACAGTACTCATTATCTGTTGACCCAAACTCAGGACTTAGTTCAATTCCTATTCCTATTCCATATTTCTCTATTTCTTACCTGGATATTACTATCTTAAGAGTCTCCAAGGTTCAGAATCTCAGTATTATCCCTAACTCCTTACTCTACTTCACCCATATATCCATTTGGTTGCCAGATTTTGTCATTTATAACTCTACAATATTTCTCCTATCTGAGTCCTCTCTATTCACATGACCACCATCTTAATTTAAACCTTCATCACTTCTTGTCTGGACTATGCAATATTGCCTCTTGATTGGTCTTTCTGCCTCTTCTTTCCTTTCTGCCATACATCCTCCACAAAGATGCCAAACTGATTTTCCTAAAGGACAGATCTGACTACGTCACTTTCTTACTCAGTGAACTCTGGTGGCTTTCAATTGCCTCTAGAACTTTTTTTTTTCCCTATGGTTAGGCAATGGGGTTAAGTGACTTACCCAGGGTCACACAGTGTTATGTGTCTGAGGCCGGATTTGAACTCAGGTCCTCCTGAATCCAGGGCCAGTGCTCTATCCACTGCGCCATCTAGCTACCCCTCAATTGCCTCTAGGAACAAATGTAAATTCCTCTCTTTGGCATTTAAAGCCCTTTATGACCCAGTCTGGACCTGTCTTTCTAGCTTTTTTATATATACATTGCTTCCCTTTCTACACTCTATGTTCCAACCCAACTGGACTTCTTGCCTTTCCTCACACATGGTATGCTATCTCCCATCTCCATACCTTTTTACTGGCTGCCTCCCTTGCCTGGGATGTGCTGTCCCCTCATTTTCTCAGAACTTAGTTAAAATGCTTCCATATAAAGCCTTTCCCAATTGTCCCAGGTACTAGTACCCTCCCTCTCCAAATTATCTTGTCGCTATTTTGTATGTCTTCTGAATATATTTATGTACCTGTTATGTTTCCTCCCTCCTCAGCCCCTACAGAATGTAAATTCCTTGGGGACAAAGATTGTTTCATTTTAGCCTAATTTATACTGATGTCTGAATTTACTTACTCCTAATTTCTGCCTTTCAGAATCCACGTCTTTTTCCAAGTTCACATAACTTACTTGTCTTCTCACCCTTCTGGTCTTCCCCATCTTCTCCAGTTCTTACTGCTATGTCCCTCCTCAAATTACATTGTACATAATATATATATTTTTTCTGCACATTGTCTTCTCAGTACAATGTAATCCCTTGAAGGTAAGAATGCTCAGATTTATGTAGTCTAACACAGTATTGTGCTTTTTTTTTTTTAATCTGGGCCTTTTTATTTCTTGGGCATAGTAACTCTTATGAAGAAATTCCCTCTTCCAATGCAGATCATGAATTCATCTATGACTTGTCATAAAGAGTTGTCTGGGACAGTGAGAGGTTAAATGACTCTCTTGGGGTCAAACAGTATGTGTCAGAGGTGTAACTTAAGTGCAGGTCTTTCAGTCTCCATGGCTGGCTTTCTATTATTCCATGCTGCCTCTCAAGGGTGATCATAAAAAATTAAAAAGACAGTTTCAGTTACACTAAAAAACTTTTACATGAGCAAAATCAATGCAGCTAGATAATTCATATCCCATATCTTGATAATGGTCATATCCAAGATATGACACAACAATATAAGGAGTTATGTCCCAATTATATTAGGAGTCAAAAATATAAACAGTTTCCAAAAGAAAAATTGCACTCTTTCAACAATCATATGAAAAATGCTCCTGTTGTATCCCTTCTGGCTTCATTCTCTTAACTCCTATTTGTATTGGCAGATAGGCCCCAGAGAATGACTGATGACTAAGAGGTTTTCTATTACTATTGCCCCCATGTGGGGCTTCCTAATATTGATTAACCAGTTGATACCAATTAGCCTCCACAAAAGACTGTTTACTGAGATTTGGTAAGGATAGATGTCACTAAGATATTCCTCAAAAAACTGGGGGCACACTTTCCCTCTTATACATAGGTACTGAATGAAACACATGGAGGGAGTATATGTGATTAAGGTGTATCTCCTGGATTTGGGAATCCTTTTTTCCTTCTTGGAGTCTCTAACAAGTTCACTTCTGTATGTGGCAGAATTGCTCTTTTGCTTATAGGACATAGAGTCTTAGCAGTTGTGTACCTCCAACAGGTCTTTCTTTAGGGATATCTTTTCTCTAGGCCCAGCTATTGTTGCTATCAGTTTTTATTGCTGAGGGGATTTTTTTATGGGTCTTGTCATCTTTCAAAGCTAAGAAGGTCATAACTTGATTTATTCTATCTCTTCAGTGAAATAATCCTTGGTCATCTAAAAATACCTCTTCTGAGGGACTTCCCTCCTCTTCCATCAGGATTGGGTTAGTACTCTTCCCTCACTTTCATCTAGTGACTCAGATTGCCACAAAGTTGGCTAAGGGATCCCTTTTTTTTCTGGTAAACTCACACCAGAGTTATGGAGAGAGAGTTCCATCTTTCTTTAGAAAGTGCATCCCTGCTCCCACCCCAATTTTAACCCTTGATCTCTTAAGCCTCATTAAGAAGGAGTTATCTGAACCATCCTAGGGGAAAAGGGGAGCTGCCAATTGAAAGATCTAAGCCATTTTCCTAGGATATCCTCCCAAGGAGGAGGGACCTAAAGCCCTAGACAATTTCACAGAGGATGGAAAATGGAAGGGGATAGAAAGGGTTGATCATAAAAATGTCTCATAGTAGCCTATCCTTGTTGGGTAAGTTTCCTTGGAGGCTGGATCCAAGAAACCACTGGACTGGAGAGTTCACTTTGTTTTTGGGAAGTGGGACACCCAGCCCTGGTCATGAGTGGCATAATCTTGTGGCTGTTGTTTCAAGAATCCATTCCAGTATTTTCATGGGGTTCTTCTGTCCCCTCATCCATTAAAAGAGGGAAATCATAAAGTTGGTCCCTAAGTATGGTGCTGGCAGCAGTGTGGAGGGGCCTTAGCAGTGCCAAGATTACAGTTAGTGAAGGGCTATAATGGCTCCGCTTGCCCTATGTGCACAGCTGCATGTGGATCTGTATTTGCTGCCTTTGTTGCTCCATTTTCACTGCCCATGCTGTTTCCTACACCGCTACCTGCATCGCTGCCAGTTCTTCTGGACCCGTGCTGCTCCCTCTTGCAGGATAGGCTTGTCCCCCTTGCCCTTCCTGGTTTTTTTTTTTTACCTCATTAGAAAGAGGCAAACTTTTGGGGGGCTGTCAATATGCTCAGGTGGATAACGTGGGTTCTCTGAAACTTCAAGAGCCCAATAAGCTTCAGGGCTTCCTTAAAACTATAGGAAAGTGAGTATCAGTACTACATTTTGGCCTTTGTCTAATCATCTGAGTTCTTCCCATATAGTGTATTCCAAAAACAAACCCTTGTTTTGACCACATGGACTGGCACCTGGATTTTCTTGAGGTTGATCTTCTACTCCTTGATTCTTATAAGAGCTGTCATCCAATTTAGACCCTCTCCCATTGTGTCCTCCTATGTACCAGTGAATGATATAATATCAATGATATAAATATAATATCAATGGGCATTAATGTCTTTACGAAGTGGGGCCTCTTTCAATTCTCTGCCCACCTGACTGTGGCAGTATGAGGAATCAATCAGGTATCCCTGAAGAAGGAGGGTGAAGGTATACTGAACCATTTCCCAGGTGAAGAAGGCAAACTACTCCTGACTACCCTCAACTATTGGAACAGAAGAAAACAGGGGGGAGGGGATTATCAAGGATGATTCATTACTTCAAGTCCCATGTGTAGATTCCAGTGATGCAGTTCCCAGGAGTGTCTCCCTTAAAGGGAGAGAGATGGCTTATGGATTTAGTAACCACATAGGTTAAAATGGCAATGCTGGAAGAGACCAATAAGATGCAGTTAGAAAGCAAGATCTCTGACCAAATGGTTTTGATGAAAAAATATGTTGTAATCTGATATTAGGTCTATAAGAAAGAGAATAAGAACAGGAGTGAGGACAAGAGTTGGGAATTGACAGCAG